AAGTGAGAGAGTGGAGGAGACGACTCCCTCCCTCCCTCCCTCCCTCCCTCCCTCCCTCCCTCCCTCCCTCCCTCCCTCCCTCCCTCCCTCCCTGCTCCTCCTGCTCCTCCTGCTCCTCCTGCCTCCCATCCCCACCCCTCTCTTGCCGCCTTGCTAGTTTCGCCATCTCTTCGTCGGTTACCCCGAGCGCGCGCCCACCTCGCTTCTAATAGCTACAATATCTATAGGACAGCAAAAGTTTATGGACAAGTAAATAGTACGACGGGAGCAGGACAGCAATAATCATACAGCGCGGGTGCGATTCCAGTGCAGAGAGGTTTTTGAGTAAAGTAGTGTGTGAGTTGTCAGAGCAGGAGCGTGCTGTACGTGTATGCTAGTGAGAGCAGATCTCAACGTGTGTGTTTGCTGCTCCAGTCTCTCGAAGCTTTCAACGTGTAGCACGATTGGTCAGTTTGTTCAAAGGCCCACAGTATAAGTCTATCAACATCAACATTTCATTGATTTCAAGTCTTATACTCCAAGATGTCGCTACTAGTCATTGTGATGATCCCATTCGTCACTGCGAACTCGACCAGCTGTGAAGTCACAAACTGTCAGTCTAGACCTATTCCTCCTCGCTCCTCGCTCCCTCGCTCCTCCCTCGCCCTTCCCTGCATCCGTCTATCGCCCTTCCCACCATCTCTTCTCCCACCGCCGCCTCCTTCTCACCTCTCGGCCCTCATTTTCTGCATTCTGTCGCTCGAGATGACATCTGTCATCACTGCCACATCCGAAGATCCTGATGCCACAAGCTGCGTCACCTTCCCTCTTCCTCCTCCTCCTTGAAAACCTCCACCTCCTGCTCCTGCTCCTTGCACAACCCATCTCTTCCATCCTCCCGCCTCCTCTCGCATGGCACGATAAGGCTTACCTGACAACCTCACGAGCTGGAGAGCAGCGTGATAGACGGAAGGATTCGAATCGTCTGCCTCCACCTCTGTGGCATCCAGTCAAAAAAGACGACGAGGACAGAGAGAAGCAGAGATGGTGGTGATGTCAAGATGAGAGGAGGTAAACGACGAATATGAGCAGGAGCAGGAGCAGAAGAAGGAGAAGGAGGAGCAGGAGAAGGAGAAGGAAGAGAAAGCAGGAGCAAAAGTAGGTGAAGGAGGAGGGGGATGGAGAGGAGGAAGGTGGAGGATGGAGAGGAGAAGGAGAAGTAGGAGAAGCTGGAGGGGGAGGAGAACGATGGGGGAGGGGGGGGGGCACATACTTGTTGGGAAGACCCTCCTTGCCATGACTTGTGACAATTGAGCTCGGGAGCCGTTGGAGATCGATCTCAAGATCTCAACTCGGCGATCAGCTGAGAAATCATCCAATCTCGGGATGCTGACTAGCCGATCCTCGTAGCCTCCAGCTGGGAAAACTTTGTCGTAGCTCTCGCCCTTGTGGACAGCAGCGTCAGTGAGGAGGAGGAGGAGGAAAAAGATGGAAGGAGAGAGAAGAAAAGGAGCGAGGGATCCAGAGGGGTAGAGGTGTTCAAGGAGAGGACAGAGGAAGAGGAGGGAGGGGAGGAGGGAGAGAGCTGAAAGGAAGCGGAAGCGGAGGAGGGAGGTGACGGACGAGAACGCGGACCATGAGGGCCAGGAGAACATCTCCGTGCTTGATCATCACTGACAGACTCCGCTCGTCCACGGCAGCAGCAGCAGCGACTAGCACTCCTTCTTTGCTCTCGCGATCCAAGATCTGAGGAGGTGGAGGAGAGGAGAAGAGGAGGAGAGGAAGGGAAGAGGAGAGGGGGATCAAGCGAGGAGGAGGAGGAGGGGAGGAGGAGGAGAAAAGTTGAGAAGAGCGTCAACATCACTGGCAAAACTCAGTCCCACTCCCTCACCATCACAGGGGATCCCGAAGACACAGCAGCGATGGCGCGGGTGACAGCCAGCTGGCCAGCAGCTGAGATGTTCCTGGACGACTCTGCTCTCCTGCTGAACTTGGCGATCTCGGCGTTGGACTCGACAACTGAAGACTCCTGGCGGTTGACGGCGATCAGGAAAGTTTGACGTTGCTAGTCAAGAACCTTCTCGTCGCTCCGTTGAGCTTCCGATGGCCATTGGTCGAACTCGATCGCGTGTGACATCCTAAGGATCTGCTCGCTGCGTCACCATGGCGATAGGGCGGAGATCCATAGGCAAGATGAGGACAGTCATCATCATCATCATCATCATCATCATGTGTGTAGCAAACAACAGCGCCAACACCAAAACACACTGGTGAGAGATCGTAGGGTTTAGGAGTTATCAACGGCATCTTAGCACACCAACAAGACAACTCCCATCCCTCGACATCACCTTAGCACGGAGATATTTCTCGTTGTAGACGTTGGGCTTGACCACATGGGGCTTGGTCCCTTGCCACAGAACTCAGCCCTTCCACACAACTCCCTCCCCTCCACCACCTGCGATGGTCACGCCTAGCTCTGACAGCTGGCGGATCTTGAACGGGTTGTTTGTCATGAGCTGAATGGACTAGCACACGGCGGCTCAGAGCTGGCAGGAGCGCGCAGACGCTGCGTCACCTTGATACCCATGTCCTCTAGGATGTAAGGGATACACTCGTAGCTCCTCTCATCGTCTCCGAAACCTGCTCGACCCCGTCATCCAAGTGCACTGCTTCAGACTTCTCCTCCTTCACCCAGCTGTCTGTTGGCATCCACAGTGTCCAGCCCTCCGTCCTGCATCACGTCTCGACATCATCGTCTTCGCCACGAGAGAGCAAAGCCGGTGGGGGTAGAGGGAGAGGAAAGGAGAGAACGTGAAAGGGGGAGGTGCGAAGAAGCATCAAGTACCTGGAGATGGTACGCCGCCACCTTGTTTGCCAATCCGATCCCCCTTCCCTCCTGCAACACTAGTCAGCAACGTCGTTAATCTCAGCAGAACGCCACCTGAGGCATGTAGATCAACGCTCCTCCGAACTGATTGATGTAATCCAATGCAAGGTCCAGTTGCTCCTTACAGTCACACCTGCACCGCCGATCATCAGAACAGCTGCCCCTCCCTCCCTCCTTCCCTCGCTCCCTCCTCTTTTTCCATTTCCACTCCTCTGCCCTTCGACTCCCTCGCTCTCGTCGCATCATCACCTCTTCGACCCTAGAACCTCAGAGGTGTAACATTGATCGTGCACTCTGACAGCCACAGGATCCTGCACACGCCAGTTTAAAAGGCCGACTGCCAACTCATCAACCGTCTCACCACAAACTTCTTCGCTTGTTTGTAGATAACAACAGGCTCCATCTCCGTCCATTCCAACACCCGCTCCCCCTCCCTGATAACGACTTTCGCCCCCTTGTATCGATATGCTCTCATGCGGAAAACCCCCCTGGCAAAGAGCAAATCAGCTCGAGCAAGGGAAACAGCAAGATCGCAGGTCGCTATTCACCTGTCTGTTGGCAGCTCGCATTCAGCTATGAACTTGGTGGACCCCTCAGGGTAGTGAAACTCATCGTCGCTGCCATCCGTACACACGCCTGCACTCAGATCAGCTCCTCCTTCCTGCCGAGACGGCAACAACCTCCTGAGATCGTGGACGCGAAGGTTTTCGTCGGCAGCTTCCCGTCCATCCACCTCTTCCCCGAGCTCAGGAACGAACTGATGTGGCTCAGCTTCGCTCGAACTCTCCTATCAGCATGACGATCCCCCCCGTGTAGCATCTGCCAGCAGGTACTCTCTCGTCCCTTCAGTCCACGGCTCTCCTTCACCCCCATAGGTATCCCTCGCAACCTATTCCCCTCCAAGAGCGCTGGTCTGAACCAGCAGAAGCACGCGGCTCCCGCCGGCTGCTCCACAGAAAGCGACGCCATGGACTCAGTCTGAAGGGAGAACGCGAATCCGAGCAGGAAGGGAAGGAAACGCTTCCAACCTCGATTCATCTTCGCAATAAACACAGACCAGGTAAAATTAGACAATCACAACAGGATGCCCTGTCGTCCCTTACACGTACACTTCGGAGCTATGGCATGCAGGCAGGAAGAAACCATGTCATCGCAAACGAGCCATCTGCAACTCATATATCAGTGATTGCAGTCAATCAAGGTCAGAGCGTCAATAGATAATACACAGAAACCAGCTGCTCTTGCGACTGTTTCAAAAGGATTCAATTTCGTACGGTTTGTGTTGGGGGCGGTGATGGTACAAGAAACGTAGGAGGAGAGGAATTCACACACAAATATAATCAATATCAAATCGCGTGTGGTCCGTGGGAAAGTAATGCGGCATGCGGCAAGACAAAGAGGTAGCGATACGCGAGCCAACGAGCAAGTTTCGGAGCCTTCTGGCCCCATGATAGGCACACGATCAGGACAAGAGCAGCGAATAATGCAGAATGTCAATAGGAGACATCCAGCACATAAGGGAAAAATCAAATTAAGAAGGTGGGAAGCGAACAGCCAAGATCGCAGGGATCGTTTTCGAGTGCATGAAGGATCCACTTTTAACGGAATGTACATGGCGGTGAAGCGGCGATGAGAAGAAAAGTTGAGGAGAGAGTGGAAAGGGAGGAAGAGGAGGTTAGCAGTGAGAGGAGGAGGAGGGAAGGATGAGGGAAGCAGGGAGGAGGGAGCTACAGGGAGGAAGGAGGAGGAGGAAGGGAAGGGGGATAGAGGCGGCTGAACGTGCATGCCGCTGCTGTCAGCACATAAATTGCTTTGTAAGCTTTTTATGGTTATAAATAATCACAAAAATATATTAAAGAACAAATCATTGCAAAAACCTGTCCTTTAACAAAATTAAATATATGTTGATCCATAAAAAGGGATATGATATTCGAAAAGCAATCATATCGTCATTTAAATCGATTTATGTTGATGGTTTTTAAATATTTCAGTTTTAGAGCGGAATGTTCCCTGGAATGGGTGATGTAGGATGATGATGTTCAAAGGCTCAATGTGGGTGGGGGTAGTGCTCAGGTGTGAGAATGAGGGGTTTATGCTGGTTGTAAAGGGGGTGGTGTTAGAAGAAAGTAGGGTAGGGGTACTTGCGCAAACCAGCAAAGTAGATTTCATGATGTCCCGAACTGTTTCAAATTATTCGAGTTAATTTGGCCTTTGAAAGATTAAAGTTTGATGAGCTACAAATCTCAATTCCACTCTTTCGTGTCTTTCGGCGAGGAGCATGGCGATGGCGATGGAAGCGTTCCCTTGTTTGATTCCCTTCCATGCATGAAGGTGGAAAGTGCAGAACGTGCTTAGTTGCTTGCTCGCAGTTGTGAGCATCGCAGTTGTGAGCATGGTAAGACAGAGAAATCAAGAAGCTTCATAGAAGATGCTGCGATTGTGGATGTACACGTGACCTCCGTTCTGATGAGGGGGAGAGACCAGGGCAGGTCTCAACTTGGATTCGTCTTGGAGGAAGGACGTCGGGGAAGAGATCGCGGGAGAAGACATGACGGGAGGAGCGATCATGGGAGAATAGATCACGGGAGGAGAGAGCGTGGGAGGAGAGAGCGTGGGAGGAAAGAGCATGGGGGCCTTCGGGGGGGCATGCTGTTCCATAGGGGTCTACACATGGTGTGAGATTCTGGCAAGGGGCACTGAAAAAGGAGAGGAGAGGAGAGGATACCTTGAGTGTCGACACGATCCTGGCGGCGTTTGCCTGCATGGAAATGAGCGCATGAGGGAGCAGCGGGAGGATCACTCTCACATATTTGAATCGGCTCTCCAGGTCCTTCTTTTCCCCTTCTGTCTCTTTCATCTGCACATGGAGGAGTGAGGGGCAGCGAGCAGAAGCGAGAGAAACGATCACCACGGTGTTGAGCTGCATCAGGCGCATCTCAATCTCGTGGGGTGAGTCCTGGATGGGCACGCGCGGCATCTTCCTGCCATGGATGCGTGTAAGATCCGGGGGAGGGGCTCGAGGATACTTCACATCCAATCCTTCATGTCGAAGAGCGCCGTCAAGTCCTCCTTGCGGAACTTGTTGGAAGGGCTCTTCCCGGTGATACTGGAAGCCTTCTCTGGCGTTCTGGAGGGGTTGAGAGTCAGCACGAGGGCGAGACAGAGAGGAGTGTAGGGATGACCTTGCGCTGTCCATGGCGAGACTCTCCTGGCTGTGCCTCTTGGGGTTCTCCTCGGCAGGCAACGTGATCTTTTGCGGGGACTCACAGCAGTTGAGGTTGGACGGCGGGAGGATGCTGGGAGGTGCCCACCACACAAAGTCGGCCTTTGCTTGGAAACTGCCAGCTGGGCTCTCTGCCGGAGCCGATGGCACATCTGCAGGAAAGTGTGAGCTGGGAAAGACTCAAGAGGGGTTGCATCGGCATCTGACCTTTGGGGCGAGTCTTGAGGATGCGAGGAGTCGTGGTGGAGCTGTTGGGACGAGTTGGCAAGGTGTTCTTTACATGGTTTGAGCTGGGCGACAAGTTGACTGAGGAGAACAGCGGGAAGATATGCTTGTCTGATCCTTGATCAAGATGGAACGACTGTCGGCGGATCGACTTCTCCTCCACTGAGATGACCCGCTGCCTGAGAAACATCGCTAGTGTCAGTGGCCTCGGACAAGTCTGAAGGTGCGAGTGAGACTGTACAAGTAAAACTCTTGGATGAGCTTGCTCCTGAGTAGGGTAATGCAGACGCTTGTATGCTCTGCCGAAGTTGTCAAGTCTCCTTGCACTCTGACATCCTTCCTGCTTCCCACCTGGTCCCAGCATGAGATTTCGTATCTCCTCTAACGAAAGGTCCTGTAAAAGAAGACTCAGCGATTGGAACTGGAGGTCTCTGAACAAACGTTGGCCGGAATGCCATCGATGTTCAGCAAGCGATCTGGCAGCACGGAGTAAGCACCTTGCAAGACAAATGAAAACGTTTTTGACCTCCTGACATCGCCACAAACCGCCTTCCATCTATTTGGCAAGAACGAGCCGAACTGTTGCCACAGTCAGAAGGAAATCGCAGACAGCGTCCCAAGTGAACTCGCCTGCCAATGAGATAGTATGGTCTTGTAGCAGAGATCTTCAAACCAACTCCGAACAGATCAGGGCCCTTCATCCTTCCCGCCTCTTGGTGGTTGCGAGTGATGGTGGGGTCCACGGGATCTGATGAAAGTTATTTACATTTAAGTTTGATCGAACCCTGAGGACTCACTGTTGTTGTCACTTCTCGGCCAGAGCATTCTTGGTAAATTGGATGGAGGGTTGTTGTCTGAGACAAAGGTCATAATCCGGTAGATCAAGATTCGAGGCGGGAACACAGACCTCGTGCAAGATCGCGGAGTGTGGGATCCCAAACGACTTCACAACTATCAAAGGAGATGAGCAAGGTGAGCCGATAGAGAGAGCTGGAGGTCACGTGAAAGGGATTTGGTGGAGATCAACAAACGGAGGCTGTTTGTCGAGCGAAAACATCATGTCAGAACAACATTCTTGCTGCAGACAAACAGCACCTTCCATGCATCCTGCAAGAAGGTCTTGTGACGCTCGAGGATCTCGCGCGTGTGCTGTTAGACGTCAACTCACAAGGAACAACTTGCAGCGTGTCGGATAACCTGCAAGAGATTTGAGTACCTCTCATGCTCAGGCTGAGAAGTTTCTGGAGCTCCTGAACTCCTCCTGCTCTGAGAGCTCTTGCGCGAGGGGCTCGATTTCGGGACTCCAACCTTCCATCTCATCAATGAGGAGTGCAGAGAACAGATGCACTCTTGACGATGATACTCACAAATTGAGAAGGCAGCGTGTCGGTCACGGTCAGCACGACACAATACGTCACATCCACAATCAATCTGAGATCTGACGTTATAACTCTCAGTACAACCTCTTGCGCGATCTGACCTTGCGATGTCGTCCGAGTTTAGGTTGTAGATACTACTCCCCTGAACCTCGTGGATGTAGTTTCCACTCTCTAAGATGCCATAAGCAGGGCCCTCGAATCAGCCACGTGTCAGACGCCGGAGCATTTCTCTTCATGAGTTTACGTGGGGGTTGACTTGATATACTTGGCATGGACCGTACAGGGAAGATTTGACGAAGGAAAATCCTGCGCTTCCATCCCTCTTGTATATACTCACTTGTTTCACGTGTGCACTGTGATTTGTGTGCATTCGTGCTTCATCATTCACAACATGGTTGTGATGTGGCAGGAAGTTCCCCAGCAGCAGGTCGAAGTCGCTGTGCGTCACTGCAAAGAAGGCCGAGTCAAAGTTCTTCTGGAGTCAGTGGAAGGCAAGAACGCACTCGCTTCAAAATCTGTCAAAGGGTTGAAAGCCCATCCTGCTCGCGCCTGTGACGGTGGCGAACGAGTGAGCAAAATTGGGAGAATACGTGAGCTACAACAGGCTTTGGATTGACAAGGTAAGTTCATGCAAGGATGCAATGGTGAATCGGCTGCGACGACTTGAATGATACAAGACACTGGTGAGATTAGTGGGGTCAATCGTGCTGGGCAGTAATGGTTGTCAGGCATCCATCAAGTGAATCAGGGAACGTACAGCTACAGATGAAGGGAAGAAGTGGCGCGAAGGAGAGGGGAGGAGAGGAGAGAGAGGAGAGGAGCAGGCTCGATTGCAATTGTGCAGCAGAACGAGGAGTAACAGCAAGGGCAAGAGCAGCAGCAGGATCATGAACAGCAGGAGCAGGAGCAGCAGCAGGATCATGAACAGCAGGAGCAGGAGCAGCAGCAGGATCATGAACAGCAGGAGCAGGAGCAGGAGCAGGAGGGCAGCTGTTGCCGCTGCAGAGGGTAAAGCTACATTTCGACGCAGCCTATCGCATGACCGCAGGCTCTACCCCTCGTAGGTGATCCCCCTCTCTGACTCCACCCACCCACTCTTCTTCCCTTATGATGATGGTAAGGTACGGGTGTATTAAGCACCCTACCCCCCTGAAAGTCCAAATGTTGACCGGCAGACGATCGTCGGAGTACGGAGCATCCTAATAAGTATTTTAGTCTCGGCTGAAACTCGATTAGGTAACTCAGTTCTATATTAGGAACCGCACCACATTCATCAGATACCGTACGGCGTGTCACTGAGGCCCGCCGGACTGGACTGGGCCTGAGCCCACTGGCAGGCTTCGGTGGCACCCGGCGCCGGCCCCTGGCCCGTCCAACCAGTCGGGCGCCGGGCATGTGAACAGTGTCACCGGGACTCACTCCAGTCCTTCAAGAGGACACAGTGTAATGAACTTTATACTAGTAAGTTTCAACTTACTGTGACATTGAACTCAGTTCGGAAAACCCTCAGCAACCTGAAAACTAGCCTGGTAGCTAGCAAACTTCAATAATGTATCACGACTCGCAACTCGTCATTTGGCAGTGACTTGAATGAAGCCTTCATCCTCCTGTCAGCGGTGGCCAGTGGCAGCGCTGGCCTGAGGCTCATCATTGTATGGAGCATGCAGCTCCACACTGAATGGAAGGCTGAGACAAGGAGGCTGAGAGTCAGGTGCCGACGGAATTTCACTTGAAGCCTCTGTTACCTGTCGAGGCTGAGGGTCTTCTTCAGGTGAGGGCCGGCCGGGAAGGTGTGCAATCTGTCGTGGAAAGTCAAGGAAGTTTGAGAGACGAATACAAGGGAAAAGCGAAAAAGACCTAGCAACATGAGGAGAAGCAGCAGGAGCAGGGGCAGGGGCAGGAGCAGGGGCAGGGGCAGGAGCTGGAGCTGGAGCTGGAGCTGGAGCAGGAGAAGGAGGCGAATAGAGGACGGGTGACTTGCCAGTAGCAGGAGTTCTTTGGCTGTCGGGCGGACTGAAGGCTCCGTATCCCAAGACTTGACGATCAGCTCCGCCAGCTCTTTCCACTCAACCTGCAGCATGACAAGGAGGATCAGTCACAGCAGCAAGCAAAGTCCATGAACAGACAAAGGGACCCACCCACTCAATGGGAGGCCGGAGAGTCGAGTGACAGGTCCTGGAATGCGTGAGAGGAGTGGACGGAGGGAGCAGGGGCAAGGCTCGTGTCTCACTCTATCTTCAGCAGGCAGAGCTCCTTGGGTGTCGTGAAGGGCTTCTGCCCCGTGCAGATCTCCCACATGACCTGCAGGACCAACGGTCGGGACGGCGACAAAAACATGAGCAACGGGCTCGCACATACCAGCGCACAGCAGTAGATGTCGGCCTTGACCCCATAGTTCCCCTTCAACGTCTTGGTGCTGTAAACCTGACAGGGGCGGTCACCCCAGCTGGGTGATCAAGTTGGCTGACCTCAGGGGACATGTAGCGAAGAGTTCCAGTGCACATGCTCATCTCACGGCGAATGCCGGCCTTTGCTATCGTCCTGCTAACACCGAAGTCGATGAGCTTCAGGGTCCTGAGGTCCTGCAAGCGACCAGCATCACAGCAGAGCGACGAGGGGGAGTGGGGATGTGAAGGAGGGCAGAACCTCGGAAAGCTGCAGGTTGTCGGGCTTGATATCACGGTGTAAGATCTAGAACAAGACGTCAAGGACTGACAATGCAAGCCGGTCGTCATTGTCTCACAGGAAAGTCTCTATCGTGAAGATGCCTGTTGGAACGATATGAAGTCAGAATCCTTCTCCTCTCCCTTCTACCCCTCACCTGACAGCATCTAACATGCACGTTATCCACGACACGATCGTCGCTCTCTTGGGTTTCCACGACCCTCGTTTTTCAAACCGACGGAGGAAATCTCCGAGACTCGGGCCATCCAGAAGCTCGAGCAGGATGATCGGAGCTTCGCCCGGTACGTCCCGCAGGCCGTAGAAGTCCACCACGTTCGGGTGTGGTCCGACGATGGACATGATCTTCGCTTCAGTCAGGAAATCGTTGTAGCTGTTGGAAGCAGCATCCTCGCAGAACTGCGGCAGAAGACGCTTTGACGCAACTCTTTTGCCTCTCCACTCGGCCTCGAAGACCTCGCCCATCTGCGCATGGAATAATCAAACTCGGTCATCTACCACGATGAAAGCATACAGCCCCCTGTCCTAGCTTTCGTAGGTGCAGAATTTGATCCGTCACAGGAATCAAGATGGGGTCTACTTTGTCATTCTCGGTCTCCTTGGGATCTGCGCGTGGTAAGACCAGCTACCGGCATTATCGTGCAGGAACGGGGAATGGGCGATGTAGAGTGGTGACAGGACGGGAAAAAAACATTCATCACCTGCTGCCTTTGGTAAAGGGCAATCTTGAAGTATCACAGTCTTGAACTGCGGAGAGCAAACGTCATTCCAGCACAAACAGCACACAAGAAACGCACGTCAGTGATATGTGGATGCTTCTCTGCCTCGAGCTCCTCTGGATGGATGGCCGTGGAATGGCCGGCGTCAAACTCCAAATGCACCATTCCTGAAACAAACCATCAAAAACCACCATCAGAGATGGCTTCACATCGGGAAAGATCAGGACCAGAGTGTTGCTAAGAGTCAACTCTAAGCATCCTGGAGTTAACTCCATGAAATGTACCTTCTCCTCTTCTACCCTCGCTCACTCTCTGACCTCTTGCCCTGCTTCCCATTCTGATCACAGTCGATTTTCAAGGCATGGGTTCCATTCTGACACCGATCTTCCTCTCGCCGCATCCTCCCTCCCTCCCTCCCTCCCTCGTTCCCCCACTTCGCCGCTCCCTGCATTCAGGGAGGCCCCGTCCGATTACGTACTTTTGCGCTTTAAAATATTTTTTAGTCGAAACGTTGTGATACTACATATCTTTGGAGGATAACGGATTTAGAACGACTTGAGGAACAACGGTTTTTAACGATGTTGTAACGGTCAGTTTCCGAAGTTCCTGGCGCCAAAACCAAGGTATGCGTGATTCGAGATGGGAGGAGGAGGAGGAGGAGAGGGGGAGAGAGCAGGAGGAGGAGCAGGAAGAGGGAGGAGGAGGACGGAGATGGTAAGCGAGATAAATGCGGAGATAGATCAAAGATGTGAGAGAGAAACAAGCATGAGCACTGTTATCGTCCTGTTGCTCAATAGACGATGAGCCAGACCAGCAGGGCCGCAGGAATGTTGCGAGAGAAAGCATGATTTACATGTTAGGTTGTCGATGCGTCGTGTATGCACCTTTGCAAGAAAGAGATCATGTTCGAGAATGTACTGGGGAGTGAAACTGTAATGTGAGGATTGAAAATTGGGTTTAAACCTTGTGAGATTACCTTGTGTGGGGGGGGGGATCTCACCATGCATAAACTTGATCTGTGTTTTCGTGTTGGTAATTGAATTCGCAGGACATGTCTCGGCGATTTGAAACCCTTTGGTGCAACAAATACTAGTTCTGAAAGTTGCATCTGAAATTTGATCTTGCGCTGCTTCAAGATGGATTGTGTTGTTTGCACGGAACGATTGAACAATGAGATTGCAGCTCTCATGTGCGGGCATGTGTTTCACATTGAATGCGTCAAGAACTGGTTCCGTCGTGGCTTGTCGAAACAAGCTTGTCCGATCTGCAAGCAAACATTTGATGTTTCCAACAAGAACAGGTCGGACAAGCGGATGGTGAAGATATATTTGCCCGATATTCTTGACCGTCAGCTGCAAATAAACCATATCGACGACGTTGGCGACATGGACCAAAAGGCCCTGGGGGAGAAACTGCTGCAGGAGAGAAATTATTTTCGAGCCGTTGAGCAGGAGCTAAGGTTGGAGATTCAGGCTCAAAGAGATTCCAACTTGAATCTCAGTACCGAGAAGGCGCAGCTTGAGGACAAAGTAAAGCAGCTAGCGACACACAGTGAGAGTGAGCATCGTAAAGCATCGCTGCTATGGGAGAAACTGAATGAAACGCAATCGAGTCTTGCTGCATGCAAAACGGAAATGAGAAGGAGTTTGGAGAAGGCCACAACAATGGAAACAGAGCTTGTGAAGCTGCGAAGGATGCAGAGTAACTTCAATTGCTATCAGCTTGTTCAACAGGTATGCATATCTCGTCAATGCATGCAAACCTGTGAGTTGCAAATGTTGCCAGGGAAACGACGACAAGGCGTTGGAAGATCTGCAGAGGAACAACTCCGGCGACACTTTGCTTGTAGAGCTCAAGAAGATCTTGAATTTTCGCCACACCGCCTTCAAGAAGCTGCAGGAAACTTCCAACGACATGCAGAAAGAGATTCAGCGGCTGCGAGGAGAACGTGAGCACCTCAAAACGTCTGCCTTGACTTGCAGGCTGCTTTCTGACTCCTTTGCCAGTTGAACGCAAGAGGGCCATCGATCACGGACCGTCTGCAAGGCTGGCGGACTACAACCGACCAAAGTTTTCGATGGCTAACAGGAAGGTACCAGAGCTGGATCCCCCTGATCGGCCATGCACATCCTCGGCTCCGGTGGACAATCGAGTTGGGTCTCGGATTGCTGAGGCAGTAGCTGAGAAGCGGCCAGACGCGACCGATGTTGAAGACAAAGAGAATATGCTGAACAGTGACATTTCAACCACGACCACGAAGATCAAGGGAAAGAGCAAAGGCAGGAGCCTGCTGAGGCCACAGGAAGGGCAGGTGGTCCGTTCCAACGATCCAGACAACGGTGGGAGATTCATTCGCAGCGGGCCAGATGGGATGGGAGGGACGATCAACATTCACCCGGTGCACACTGGCTTCAACCCTCCACCCAGAGCGAGCCTTCACTCCAGCATGACAACGGAGACATCGGACGGCAACAAGATCAACCACAAGCGAAAGATTGTGCAACCGGAGAAACCAACGTCCATCAAGAAGTTCTTCAGCAACGTCAGTGTGTAACGGGCTGGGTTTGGAAACTGTTCAATGAAATAACTGTGTGTGCTAATGTGTTGAACTCTCTAGTGACATATTAAGGCTTGTGATACTCCTGCAAGAATCACATGCTGATAGCGCTTGGTTTTTGAATGAAGCAGCTCGGGCATTTATCCCATGCCTTATCCACTGGCTCGCCACAGCTCCTGCACTCCGTCCAATTCCGAAGGTCCAGAGTTGCGTCACCATCATCAATCATGTCTCCGTAGCCTCCGATAGGGACAGTCGGCTCCGACGGGCTCTGCGAGGATGCGTCTCCCTCTCCTCTCCTGTGTCCCTGGGACGTCGCCGCGTCAGCCTCGTCCTGCTCAGCCTCATCCTCTCCATCTAGATCCTCGTCAGCTCCTTTCTTCTTCACCACTTTCGATCTAGTCGACTTGAACTTGTTCGACAGGGCATAGATCTCCATGGCCTTCTTGCCAAAACGAACGAAGGATCGCCATGCGTCGCCCGAGTCGATGAAAGCCGGGCCTGACTTCTCCACGTACTCCTCGAAGTAGATGAACAGGTCCTCGTCGTTGTTCTCAACTAGCTCGCGCAGGCCTGCGAGGGTATCCTGGGGAATCCGCACGTCCTGATCCTTCAACCTGGACAGCTGGTCCAGGACCACATAGATGTTGTACGAGTAGACGATGTCAGGAGCTTCCAGGCCATCTTTCTTCAACTTCGCAGCCTGCCAATCATCGTCAGCGACTGTAGGAGGAGGAGAGGTCTTCGCACCGAGTCAGCTGGTGGGAGGTTGCTGCTTGCATGCCACAGGCCTCCGATCTGCTTCCTCCTTCGGGGGGCAACGTTGCTCTGCTGTGCGATCACTTCAATCGCCTGCAGCACAAGGTCATCCAACACAGTCAGGTCACGGCAAACCATCCTCGAACCTTCTCTCGTCTCAGTATGTCCACAATGGTCACTGGTCTGGCCTTCTCGTAGATCGACAGGAGCATCACTGCCATAGACTTGTATGTGATCACCACGCCGGCTCCTTTCCTCTGCCTCTGCTTCAAACGCGAAATCGCCATCTTGTACTTGTCGACCTCAGCGACTTTGTTGAAGCCGAGCTTGTTGTTTCTCATCGACAGCAGCTCCAGAAGCGTGTCGAACCTCTCGAAGTTGATTCCCTCATGTCCTTGAGACGCGTCGAGTTTCCAGATCTTTTCCCTCGCATTCGTCGTACGGGGAAAGACCATGATAGAGACAGGTGTCACCCCGTTCAGTTCCATGCTGCTGCCTGCTTCGTTCCAGCAATCGCAGAACACCTCGAGCTCCTCATGCGACAGCAACGAGTAATCACGTAGGTTGGCTTGAAAGTAAGATGCTATGATAGAGGCGATGAAGGTATTCAGGATCAAGTAGTTGTTGATGAAAACGAATAAGATGAAGAGTGCGTAAGACCCAATCTCAAGACCACAGTCTGTTTGGAGGTTGCCCCACATGTCCTTATTCTTCCACAGCCCGAAAGTCTCCAAGTTTGCGCTCTGCGTACTTCCGATGAGCGGGGCAGACGCGTTGAGGTCTAGGGGAGCCCAGGGCAAGGGAGTGCAATACGGAGCTGCGATGGCCGCCTCCTGAAGGACAGCACCCCATGAATCTCCGCTCGAGACCCGAAACAAGGCAACCAGTGCTGAAGGGAAGTCAGCAAAGTTGTTCTGAATCGGGTCAAGCTGAGCTCCTTCCTTGAGCACTGAAAACATGTTGGTGGCTATAGCAGCGAAGATGAAGATCATGATGAAGGTCAAGGCCACGGTAGCGATGGCTTGTGGGAAGCTGATCAAGATGGTCTGCATGAGTTTCACGAAGGTAGGTGAGTACTGAAAGATTCGAACCAGTCGAAACATTCGCAATGAGCTCAGCCCGATTTCAACGCCCAGTTTTGGAAAGACAAACAGCTCTAAAGCATTCATGAAGGTCAAGAACGTGTCGAAAAGCCCGGTGAATGATAGCAGATAACCCTTCATGTCGGCGATGATGTTGATTGTAAACTCCACACAGTACAACACAAAGCATGCGAACCCACCCCAGAACACAAGAATCTCTTGCGACGCACTGACTCCATATCTCATCGAGGCGAGGATCGCGATGTTGAATATGATCGTGGCAGTCATCAAGATTCTGTAACGATAACCGTCCCGAATCGAAGAGAACCTTGCCCTGAGCTTGCTAATGAAGATGAAGAAAGGGTGGGCTTCCAGCTCTTCCTCCTGGTTGCGAGCATACTTGAAAGGATTCGGCATGAACTCGAACGCATCTCTCGTGGCGGGCCAGACGAGTTGCTCCTTGAGATGAAATGCTAGGCCTGACTTCAGACGCATGTTCGTCAAGAGCAAACCGATTGCTATCTGCGAGACAAAAACTCCAACGATGAGCGAGAGGACTATGACGTATATCGCAGCAGAGGCATTGTAGTTTTTGATTTGTGCCAAGTCTCGTCCGGTCACACTCAACAACGCTATGAGCATCTCCTGGAAGTAACTTCTGTTGATCATACTGTAAATGGTGAACATCGCAGAGTATATACTCTCGAAGTTCAGAGGTGCATTCTGCCATATTCGAGGGATGAGAATCGTAAAATCGCTGCTGCTAACGCTCTTAAAGTTTGCGATGCTGTATGCCGATGGGACGCTCTCCTTAGTCCCGAAGCAGGCTCTCTTGTTCATCTTACAGTAAGAGAACAATCCTCCTGCAGTCGCATTGTACGCACACTGCCCCACAAATCCAGGGAAGCATTCGGAATCTTTCGTACACTTTGTTCCAGTCAGATCGATAACGTCTTCGGTGACGCATCGATAAAGCAGGCCCATGTACTGGTCCATGCCAACTAGAGCGAAAACGAAAGTCAAGATGATGACTGCACATACAAGCACGAATATGCCAGGCATGCTTGCTCCTAACCCTTGCAAGACCAATCTTAGTGGATTGTTGGGCCCTCCGATGTACTGCAACCGAGCCAACAGCCTGAGGATACGGAGGGATCGAAACCCTTGCAAAATCTTTGTGTTCGATCCAAGGTTTATGACAGATGGGAAGAGAGTAACAATGACATCCAGCGCTTGCAAAATGACAATCACAAAGTCAAGGAGACACCACTTCCTCAAAAAGTAACCCAACGGTGCTTTCCCGAAGAATCCATATGCTGTCATCTTGAGAAGCATCTCCACCACGAAAATTCCGAGAAAGATTAAGCTCAGGAGGTTTGAAAGTCCGCTGACACCAGTTGCTTGATCAATATTCGTGTACACAGCAAAAACCTGCAAACATCTTTCAGGAAAATCATATCTGTTTAGAATTGTTTCCTACCACGCTTGCAATTACAATCACAGTGATGGCATAATTGAAGATATCAGACTTCACAGCTGTTCGGACAGCGGTTCGAATCTTTTCAATGATTGAGACATGGTCATCGTCGAGGTCAAATCCTGCTTCATCCCTTTTCTTATCCTGCGGGTTGATCGAAAGTCGGAGGTTCACGACCTTGATCTGACGTTTGATCTGCATCATGACAGGTCAAGGAGAGGCTCGCATTGAAGCATTATATCACCAGCTCGACTTCTTCAACTTCCTCATCACCCCCTTCCTCCCCATCGCGAATCTCGTCAATGAAGGTCTCTTGGGTCAAGAGCATCTCGTTGTTCTCGTCGAATCCTTTCAGCCTTCCTTCGGCAAGCTGTTGCTGGTAGCTATTTTGTGTCATCGCATGCCATCAGAATGCAGAGAGAATTGAAACTCACCTGGCAAGTTGCCTAAGGCTAATCTGAGCACCGCGCAGCAATTCAAAATAATGCCGATTGAAGGAAAACTTGTCAAAGTTTGTGAACTTCTCCTTTTCGGCCTTGGATTTGATGTGTTCGGCTTTTTCAAATTTATCTTCGAGAATAAATTTCTGTGCCTCTCTCTTCTCTTCCTCATTCAATTCATAATTTTGCACTATGATTGCAATGAAAATTCTGAGAAATTGAAAGTTGACAACAAAATAAAAGACACAGAAGAAAATAAATCCAGCAGCTCCTAACGCATCTGTTCCAGAAGCTGCATACTCATACCAGCCAGTTCCTACAACGATTTGCAAGAGAGGGAGTATGGAAGTTGAAATATCGAGGAAATTATATACAAGATTGAATCGAGCATGCAAGAAGACATAACTGTTCACAAAAATCAAACAGGAAAGAAAGTTGCAAAATTTTCTTACCCCTCATCGAAAAGTTCTTTGGCCGTTACAGCCGAAACAAATATCATAAAGATAAGGAAAAATATTCCCAAGAACACTTTCTCGATTCCACGAAAACCACGCAGAATAACAGCTACTGCTGGAATCTCGGAAACCCGAAAGACTCTTATCCCAGCACGAACAACAGTAGCAAGCCTTAGCAACTTGAATGTCCAGGGATTGCCCGGACTTGCGGGATCAGAGAAAGCCCTTGGGTTGTAGAATGAAATACCTCCCTCGTATACTTGAACGGAGAAGTGAGAAAAGTTCACTTCCGTGAGAACAATTCCAGCAACCGTTGCACAGATGCACAATGTGTCCACAATATTCTTGTAATGCGGAGTGAAAGAACCTCCATGTGAAGGGTAGAGTTCATACGTAAAAAACCTTCGAAGACCTTGATGTGCTGTGTAACGAACAAGCAGCTCTAGGAGGAAAATGATGGCCCAACCATACAGAGCGTAGTGCATGGACTCGCTGAATAGACACCAAAATGTTCGATTGCTATCCCACTGATCCGCAGCAATCTGCTTCACCTTCACCTTGGTTTTTAACATCTGTTCGAAACGATCGTGTTACTGTCAATAGGAATTAGATGCAGGAGGTACCAGATGATTGCTTCGCGGATTGATGCAAGGATACCCATACACAGAGTTCGGGATACACCGACCGAAGATACACGTTTCGTTGTACAATCTTGTAGTCACTCCGCCGATCACAGAGTTGCACTCCTCTGAGGAACAAGATTCACTAAAAATTCACAGAGAAAACTTGAAACTTACCAAACGGACCGCACTTTCTATATTGATCGATACTCTGAAGATCATCAATAGATTTGCAACCGCACTTAAAATTGTCGACTTGAGCATTTTGTAGACTCTGCGTGAGCAGAAGTCCTATCATGCTGATGAAGGAAATGTGCGATAGTATGGATCGTTTTCCTCGCTTAGGCAAGGGATCTTCATCGTCATCTTCGTTGGTGGCTCGCTTGCTTTCAGATGGAAACGTAACGACTACAGCTGTCTTAAGCAAGCTGTGGCAGCAAACGCGTATAGACATTCCGCATCTGCAAGTAGCTTAGCGCATCAATTGAAAGAAAACAAGAGGAATTTACATCGATATCAGCTTAGAACATGGTGCCTGAGTGAACTTGTAGACGTAAAACAACACTCCGTTCTTGCGAGCTTGGAAAAAAGAATTGATTGCTGTAAAGGTTGACCCAAGACAATGTTCAACGACTAGAAAGCAGTCGCATCCTCTTCCACAAGTTGGATAATCTTCCTGCTTGAAGTCTTGTAACACCCTTGCAACAAATTTGTAAGCGAAACGAGTGACTAATAAAACTTTGGGTACCTTTCTCTTGCAAGAACTTGAAATCCTGACAAGTCCTGCTCTTCTTCTTCAACATTTTCTACTGCATCATCTTCGCCATCATCGAATTTAGGTAGCTCATTTTCAGCAGCACGCTTTGCCGCATCCACCTTTTCTTTCTCTACTGACTCAGAATAATGTGCGCAAGTGATGCTGACCGTGATGTTCAGCAAGTAGTAGGATGTTGCAAGCATCACGAGGATGAATCCAACGTAAACAGCTTTTCCTCCGACGTCAATCAGAGGAGATATCGAGCCATTCCATGCGTTTCGGTAGAAAACTGTGTACATCACAATCGCTGCATGACCAATGTCATTGAAATTTCGAGGATCGTTGTTGTCAAATCCTCTCCAATTGGAAATGTTCGGCGGAATGTAATTCGTCATGGGGCCACCACCCAATACTGGACTGACTTGCGGAGGGAACTTGGTCTTATCAAGAGCAAAATAATCTGGCCCGACGCAATAGACCTGTGATCCTTGTATGGGGAACCCCTTCGCGCTGATTCCATTGACGTTGAGATTGATCTCTTTGCCTAAAATGTTGGAGTCGAAGAATCCAAATTGACCGCAAGATCCTCTGTAAAAGACATCAACAAGTGCACATCGATGACATTCAAAACTCACCTGCAACCCCCTCTCTCTGTAAAGTTTGAAATGTAGCGACTTGGAGTAAAGTTCGTTTGGGTTGCTGCCCAGACATCTCCGTAGCAATGTTTGACATCAACCGAGTACATTTGATCTGTTCTACAAGGAACTTCAGGAATGATGGGCTCGTATGTGAAAGTTGCCATATTAGTCCCTCCATTCGACACAAGAGGCACTGCACATCGATTGTAGTTATCTCCTTTCAAGCCAAACAGAGATAGTCCAAGAAGGCCACAAAACACCTGAAACATTATCGAGTCATTGGTATGATTCAACTTTGAATCTTGTACCATGATGAAGTTCAGAATAAGAAACACGATAACGATCTTGTATACCCCGAGGCCAAGGGCCTTCACCTGATTAATGATGAGCCACAACGACCACTTTGTTGTACTCAACATTTACCTGTATACGAGCTATTGCCAAGTATGGATGAGTCGACTTTGCCAAAGTCTTGAAGCCAAACAAGACCACCCAAAACATGTAGTTTCCGAAGACGTAGACCGTGTCGCACCATGCTGCAACCACCACAAGAGCCAAAAGAATACACCACGGATCTTTCAAGAAAGCATTTTCTTTGTAGAATATTCCTTTTGCTATCATGTGCAACACAACTAAAGCGCTGAAAGACAAGGAGTCAATAGATTTTTGCAATGAATTCATTTGGAGAATACCTGTAAAACCATCTGAAAGCATAATTTGTGCTCATCAGAAGGGTGGCAAACATGGGACGATCCGAAAATGGCTTTTCTTCAGTTTGACATCCAGGGAGCAAACAAGTTCTCAATAGACATGTGGTGTTTTGTTTGTCAAAGAGAGTTAATCCCGCTGCTGATTTGCAGTTGATCCATGCCTTCAAAAGGGAAACAAACGTTAGAGAGTCAAGATTTTACGTATTGGAAGCATGGAACCTTTGCGCAAAGACTGTCGAGCTCTCCTTTTGCGCCATGGCATGAATTCATTGAGATCAATATGCTACGCACACTATTCAGCATGAAGTTTGCACAAAACAAGGCAGCTTACAGATGATAAAAAGAAAAAAGAAAAATCATTCCATCTGTCTTAGTGTCTTCCAAGATGGAGTTAAGAATGTTAGATCCAGAGATGATTAAATCCTTCATAGTCCAATCTGCTATATCACAATCGCAAACTGCCTTGGCAATTCACAGCAGCTATAGATCCCAAGAGTCGACCAAAGCTTCCTATTCAGTTTGCCCTAGTCCTGTGCACCCAGCTTCCTTCCATTGAGCGACGCAACAACGTCGCAGCAGACCGATGTTCAATCTGCCCCTTGCAAGCCACTTGAGATGAGGACCTCAAATCTCACAGAGATATTCTGAGCATCATCTTACCATCAACCTGATGAATGTGATCTTCTTGTCTCAACAAGGCTTGCCACAGGCTTCCATCAAGCCATTCCGCATCGCCCTACCTCGTCGCTCGCCTGCAGCATGGCGCCTCTTCGTGTGGCAAGGGCAGGAACTTGAACGACCTACCAGAAGCAGCGGCCCTACTCTCGCCGATGATCTGGGCCGCCGGCGGGGCCCGGCGTGGGGCCCCCGGGGGCCCTCCCGGGCCCGGCCCGGCGGTTACCGGCGGGGGCCCCGGCGGCGGCGCCGGCGGGCCGGGCCGGGCCGGGGGGGGGGGGGGCCGCGGGCGGCGCCGCTCCGACAAGACCGTCGGCAGCACCGAGTCACAGAGTCAGTCAGGGGGAAGTTCGGATACCGTGCTGCGGCAATCCGACAGGCCCGGCGATTTCAAGCCGCCGTCCGATCGGAGGCCGGGCTGGCCCAGGCGCCAACGCCCGCCGGGGCATGAGTTGCGGCCACTACTAAGAGCCGCTCGAGTTGCCGTGCCATGATTCGGTGGGTGGGGGGGGTGGGGGGGCTCGAATTCAGTCACAGAAGTACATGCCGCCGCCGCGTGATGATCATGGGGAGGCTGGCTCAGTAGGCCCCCCGACTCTCGGCTGAGGCCGCCACCGTCAGCCGGGCGGGTCACCGGCGGTCACGCGGCGGCCGCGTTGCCGCAGTGCGCTAAGTCATTAAACCTGCGGTTGCGACGTAAGAGACGAACCGTCCTCTGTGCAAGAAGAGGTTCTCCTTCCCCTCAGTTTGATCCTCCGGCGCAACTTGAAGTCAGGCTCGCCTCAATATGTTGGAATATGAAATCTGCTGGACACCAAAAAGCGAGCAAAGGAAAGGCAGGAGACGGACAAGCCGGAGGGACGAGAGGGAGGGAGGGAGCAATAGAGAGAGGATCACAGAAGAGCAGACGGCAATGGCGAAGGCATGCAGAACCCGCTTGGACGTTGTCGTCTCCGTTTTGGTTGTTGTGAATGTCATCCATGGTGTCAGCGCTAGCAGCACGATGGCTTTCGGGTCGGTAGGAACCCCGTCTCGTAACAAAGCAAAGAGTGCAGAGAGTCAGTTGAGCAGCTATGACAGGATGATCCTCGCGCATGGTCCACCGAAAACTTCCTCGAGCAGCAGTGGATACAATCCCCAACCAGGAACGCCGACATATCCCGCCAACAGCTATCCCACCAACAGCTATCCCACCAACACCTATCCCACCAACACCTATCCCACCAACACCTATCCTGCTTATGGCAGACAAAGTCCGGTCATGTATCAGGTAAGTGAGATGAAACAAGTGTTCATGAAATCTCATCTTGTTGTAGAATCCTCCCTCGGCTTATCCTCAAACTCAAGGGGCCTCGAGTTACACCCCTACCTTATCCCCTCAATGGGCGCAACCCCCTGCCAGCGCGTTTGCAACGAATGCGAATCCGATGGGTAGTCAGGCTCGATTCCATGCTCACCAGGTCACCCGGGACAAACTGGTCCCCAGAGTGCAGAGCAGCGTCTCGTTCGAGGGGTCGAAGAGTTCCAAGGAGATGTCGGGCGAGGCGAGAAAGCTTGCCAAGATGTCAGCGCAGCTCCTCAGGGAATATTCGCGGTGAGCCTCCCTCTTGCCTCCAGCTCTACGTTGCCCTCAACGCGTACCAGAGCATCAATCTACCGTAACGCCCTAGCCAAGGAGCAGTCAAGGATCCACAAGGCACGGCAGGTCCGCTTGCTCGGCCATGATGGAGACTGTTTCCCCTCCTCATCAGTCTGAGAAACTTGGCAGGCAGCCACCATCGGTGGACTGTACAACAATCGCAGGTGAGAGGAAGCTGATCAGAGGGCCGTTGCACTGACTGCCCGTCCGCAGTCTGAGCGGAAAACCGGTACTCTCTCATGGAATGACTGTTATCTTCGTTATCTGCACCGTCGGCGCAATCTGTGGAGCTTTGTGGTACATGAAGAGGTTTTTCAAGTCGCTGCATTGACGGTCCAATGACGGTGCATACGTGTGTCTTTAGGGACAATGACAAGCTCACCCATCAAAACTTGGAGACCTTGCAGAGTGCTTGATGGCGAAATATTTGGTCTGACTGCGCTCAAGACGGATGATGTCTGCCAACATGATTTGATTGTTTGTCTTTACATTAGTGTACACATTTCCTTCAAATCCCAATCTTTCTCGCTAACGAATCGGATATATCCTCGTAGTTTTCAAGAGGAGCTTGTCCGTCGATCTATAAAACAAGGCTCAATTCCAACATTCGCACCGAAACAAATACCTCGATCTCTGATGTACCGCATTCCTGTAACACACAGCATTTGTGGTCATTAAATCCAAAGTTTGTGGCTGGCAATCAGTGCATACCTTTGCAAGTTTTGTCGATATATGCACTATACTATCCCGGTATGCCTTTATCCGCTATCACAAGGCCTCAGCGACATGGTCCATGCCTTGCGGGAGGGCACACCTCTAAAACCTCCGTTGAGCTCTCTCCCTGCCTCTGCACACAGTGATGGGCTTCTCCCAATGGCGGAGGATCAAGCATGTAATGATAAACTCTTCCTGCCAAGACGGACCAACCGCCAAGTCAAGCACCAAGTCGGCAGCTCAGGGCGACCCACCTGTGGGTACATGCAATGTTCTGAAAGTGATTCTATCTTCCACGATTCGATCTGAAACTTCGATTCTGATCAGAATTTGAGGAGAACACCCTTCTCTGATCATCCGGTCTGCCTGCTCCACGTTCTGCGGCCAACTGTCGATGATCCACCCCTGCTAGGACCGTCAAACCCCTCAGCAGGAGAGGGCAACTCAACCTTTTCTTCGCAGGAAGCATCTTTCAACCTCTCGAGGATCAGCTCCTGGAGAGATTCCTGCCCATCTCTTATTTGACGACTTTGCTCCTTTCCATTCTGCTTCGCTGTGTCCGAGAATCCCGACGCAATATCCGCAGGGCAGACGTGCTCAAGTCCCAGTCGTCGCGAAAGCTGCTTTGACATCAATGATGCGCATTATGATCAAGACAAGGTATCACCATCTCGCAGAGAGTTTTTTTCCCCGAGCCGGGGGGGCCGAGGACGCAAACTTTCAGAACTTTTCAAAAGCGTGAGGTGGATACAATCAGGCAAGGGAATCCTTGGCGCACCATGCCAGTTTTCAAGAGAGTTGATCATATAGAGCACGGGATCATCGGGCTGTTTGATCAGCAGGCGATTGAGGAGTTGGCGGAGAGTTGCGCCAACACTTTGCTTGCTCGCGTAGTCCTTGAGGACATCTATTTCACAATGTCAAAGGTCAGCGATAGGAGCAAGAAGCAGGAGCTACAACTACACATTCACTGGTATGAGGTGAAAGATATTACCAAGATCTCAAGCTTCATGTCAGGCCACATTCAAGCATCTCACCAGCTCGCATGGTTTGAAGATCCTCAGCATTGTCTTCTCCTGCGCTCCTGAACGCCTCCTCCACCAGCCCCGCCGCCATAGTTCCAGCTCCCGACAGCGTGGAGCAACGGCCGATGAGTGAAAAACTTTACTCAAAACATGACGCATCCGACCGGGCCCGCCTCCGCCGGGCGGTGGCCAGTGACTCCTCAGGGCCTAGTGACTGTCGGCAGCCTGGCGGCCGCGCCGCCGGGCCCGGGACCCGGGCCGAGTCGGACTCTGGCATCGGGCGAGTGAGGGCGACCGTCCGGAGCGGCTCCCGGAGCGGCCTGTCCCTTCTCAGCGGCTCAGTGGCAGGCTTCAAGATTCAGGATCCCGAGTCCCGGTCCGGGATGGCGGCAGGCACTAACGGTCAGTCACTAGTCGGCAACACCTCGCCTCAGAGGCGCAGAGGCAGGACCGAGGAAAACTAGATTCCCATCATCGAATAACTCCCTTTCAATTTCATATTTACAATCAGATTTCCAATGAAAAATTTCAAATGTAGGGACACAGAGTCCAATTTCACACGATGATGAGATTGTGACCGAAGAGTCGATTCATGCGACGGCGCCGAGAGGCCTGGCAATGGAGAGGAGAGGGCAGGAGGGAGGAGGGAGGAGACAAGGAGTGCCTGCGAGCAGGAGACAAGAGATCAGGAGGAGATTCTAGTGGTTGAAGAGCGAAGTATGTCAACCAGGTTATGAAAGGATTGCAGCAAGGTGGACGATTGTATGCAAGATGGAGGAACGACGACGACGACTAGATCTCCGACAATGTCGAGAATAGGGAAAACAGAGATGTTGACTCGTCGATATGTTGGATGACTGTTAGGAGTACGAGGTTGTAAGGGAGGACAACTATTCTTAGATTGTTTCAGACACTCAAAAATATCATCTTGTACCCTTTTTCACAAGCTTTCACAGTGGAATAACCTGGTTTCAGGCAATTATGATTGAGATTGCTGACGCCACTGGCGCTACCAATCATGGCATTGGTGTTGTCCTTGCAAACCAAGAGCTGGAGAATGGCGTTCGAATCACTGCTGTACAACCAGGGCAGGTAAGACGAGAAAACAAGCTCACAGGGGATGGAAGTAGTCGAATTGTCACCCACATCAAAACATCACCTCTCGAAGGAGACATTTTTCTCTTTGTCTGTCTGATGCGTAGAGAGGGACAAGCATTCGTGTGAGGGTCTTGTGAGGTGACAGAGTCGTTGCAGGGAGCATGGGCTACCAATGCCTTCGCACCGGGGGACGTCATTACCAAGATCGGTGACCTCCTTTGTGCCGGCATGAGCATCACTTCGATCGAGAAACTTCTCAGGTTCAGTTCTATTCCTTCCCTTACTCTCCTTGGATCCCTCCTCCTCTACCTTTCGAGCATCATCATCATGCTGACTGGGCGCTTCGGTCTCCTTACTGGTGTACAGAGGCGTCGCGGGCACTGTGGTCAAGGTGACGCTGATGAAGAAGGAAGGGACCGAAATCAGTGTGTCTGTCACTCGAGGCTCGTCTGTGTAAGAATTCTTGCCGCGAGGAATTCTGCAAGTTTGCTGAAAATTTCTCGACAGCTACTGGCAGGGAGCACAAGAGCGTGACGAGCTGAAGAACAAGCTAAATGCTGTCATTGCTGAGATGGAGCACATTCAGAGCGACAACAAGATGCAAATGGAGAAGCTGAAGCATGAGCTGGAGGCGATGAAGCTTGTCAACAACAAGACGGAGGAGAATCTGAAGAATGAGGTTAACGCTCACAGCCAGACCAAGAAAACTCTGGACGATACCCGCGCGTCGATGAGCAAGGCCGAGGGAACCATCAAGGCGCAGGAGGCCATCATTAAGTCAAACGTCAAGATGTAGTTCTCATCCTCCTTACTCGAGCCCTACCTGATGTCATGTCCAGTCACGAAGATCTGAAGGCAGACTTGATGAAACTGAGAGACGCCAACGATCTGCTGCAGCAGAAGCTCATCACGCAAGTCAGAGCCCCTGCCTCTTTCTCCACTTTGTGAATTAAAGTCGATCTTCGACCAGGAGAAGTCAAGGGAGCAAGCTGAGACGAGAGAGAAGAGAGCGCAAGATGCTCTTCTTGCCGAAGTGGAGAAGAGTAAGTGTCAGAGTTTTGTTACCTCTCCTCACAAAGCTTCCAGCCAAGTCCTTGGAGAAGAGGAGACAGGAGCTGGAGAAGGATGTGAATGACCTTCGAAACAAGTTCAGGTGTGCTGCTCCATTGGTTTCTGTCGCGCTGATTGCTCCTCCAAGCTCACAGGGAGACCTGATCAAACCCGAGATGGATGCCCTGAAAACGAAGCTGCAAGGTGTGTGCTGCCGTGACACGAAACGATCCACTCCGCATGACAGCCTCCTGCAGAGAAGGAGAAATCACATGAGAATGCCAAGAAGAACATCGAAGAGCTGCAGAAGGAGCTTAAGGACTTGTCGTCGAAGCTCTCCTTGAACACGACCGAGTACAAGTCACTGATGGACAAGAACTCGTCCCTCAACGAAGAGATCAGATCTCTCAAGGATTCGGTGCGACCATATCACCCCCTGCCTCCTCTTCCTTGACATCCTTGCAGCTCGAGAAGTGCAGGAGAGAGCTGAACGAGGTGAAGGAGGTGAAGAGCAAACTTTCGAGCGAGAGAGACATGCTCAAAGGTGTCTGCTTCTTTCTGCTCCTGTGCGAAGTGACCTGGTGACAACCAACAGCAAAATTGACCTCCAACGAGAGCGAGCTAAAGACGACCAAGGACAAGTTTGCAGAGGTGACATTCAGATCATGTTCCGAATCCATCATTGCATCTCCAATCTTTGGACGGGTTTGCTTCAAATGAACCTCTGTTTCAGTTTTTGTCTCTATCTCAATCTATCTTTGGCAGAATTCCAAGAAATTGCAATCACAGAGCACGTCGCTCCAGGAAACTTCACAGACGTTGACCAAGACGCAAGCAGATCTCAAGGCGGCCCAGTCGAGTTTACGTGAGAATTTCATCCGAGCAAGTCAATATTGACGTTCCACGTGGCAGAAACCTGGCAGAAAAAGGCTGAGGATGCGGAGAAGAAAGTCGTGAAGCTGCAGGTGTGGGTTCAGAGCGCATCGAGCAAGTCAAGTCGCTGACCCTTCTCAAGGCTGACATGCAATCGAAAACGCTGGAGGCCAACTCCCTTGAAGCTGAGAACAAGGTCCTTTGCGATCTCGAGAGCTGCTGCTGCTGCTGCTGCTGCTGCTGCTGCTGCACTCCCCCCCTTTCCTCTTCTTGCTTCTGCTCTTATCAACCATCACCACCTTTCCTCGTCTTGCTTTCTTTCACTATGATTGTGTTCAGGAGCTTCGCAAGGTGAAGGAGAAGCATGAGGCGGTTCGTCTGATCAGCGTTACCGCCCGCCCGCTGACGCTCCTTCCAGCTCTCCAAGGATGTGTCAAGCATCCGCAGCGACTGCACGAAGGCCAAGCAACTGCAAGAGGTGAAGAATGAGAGAATGTGTCCATATCGTTGCCCAAAGCCTTGTCGCGTCTCCTGTCTCTTCCTTCCATCCCTTGTTGCCCCTCCCCGTTCCTCAGCTCACTCGATGGTGGAAGGACGCGGACGTGAAATGCACCAGAGCTCTGGTGAGGCGGAAGAGGCGCAGGAAAGAGGCGTGAGACTTGTCGTAGGCAACTCACGACAAGCTGAAAGAAGACTTGGAGAAAGTCATTTCGGAGAGGAATGTGAGTTGGATAGCCAAAATGATTCCTGCTGCTGCTACTGCTCCACCCTCCACCTTAATCTTGTCGTGAGAGTCGCTCCGCATCGCATGACTTGCCCGACAGGATCTCATGAAGAAGTTCACATCAGTCGAGCAAACCATGACGAGCAAGATCGCGGAGCTTCTTCGGGACCACAAGGAGAAGGTGAAGAGAGGGCTGACCAGCTCGCCAGTGGGGCTGACGGCCCTGAAGGTGTGGGAGCTGAACCAGGTCAACATGTCCTTGGAGGCCGACCTGAAGCGGTGAAGGGAGGCTGGTCATACCGTGAAGTCTCTTACAAGGCCGTCGCAGCTACCTCGCGCTCCCCGACGAGTGCGGAGTTGGGATGCGCATCGATGAGATCATGAAGTCCTACGTGCCGGGAGGCCCGTCAGTCCGTCAGATTCGGGTCCTGCTCCTCAGTCCTTTCCCCCATCAGCTTCTCTCCCCTCGCCTCCTCTTTTCCCGCCTGCTCGCTGAAGGACGTTGAACCTTCAGGTGATGGCGCTCACGCCCGGGCTCTCAGCGGACATGTCAGGTAGCAGAAGCAGAGAGGGCGAAGGCGAGGAAGCAGTGGACGGGTGACTGCGGGAGCGGATGGGAGAGTAGAGCAGTAGAGAGGGAAGGAGAGTGAGGGAGAGAGGCAGGGTATGATGAGGTGGTCATGCAGGAGCGATCAGAGTTGGCGACATCCTCTTGGAGGTCAACGGAGTGAAGTGCGAAGATCAGTCGCTCATTGAGGTCACGATGAAATTTCCCACAGCATGTTCCGCTCCTCCTCGCCCTCCTTGTCTCGTCCTCGTCCTCTCCCTCTTCTCCCTCCTCTCCCTCCTCCTTCACCTTCCTGTCTGACGATGATCAACGAAAGGTCCGAGAACTCATCATGGGTCCGCGAGGAACGCGGGTATGTCACGTCAGCGCCTGCTCGCTCTCTGATAGTTTTCTCAGGTGACGTTCAAGATCGAGAGGATCGAAGGGGAAAAGGTCTCCATCTCTGGCAACGAGCTCAACATCGACTTGTAAGTCCTTCTTAATCCCTCCAGCTCTCTTCTGCCCTCCTCCGCCCCCTCCCTCTGCTCTGCTCTGCTTGCTCTGCTCTGCTTGCTCTGCTCTGCACACCTTCCCCTTTGATCTCTATCTCACATTCCTTAGCATCACAATTTTCTCATCCTCACCACCCCACAGGGCTGCAGCGGCTCTTCAGAGTGGCATCTCCACGCCTTCCGAGCTCGCGTCCAAGAGCAACTCCTCTCCCATGAGCCTCCGCGCGGTAGATTCCTCCCCCTCCCCTCCCCCCCCTCTCCCTCGACGTCCTCCCTCCGTCTCTTCCTTCCTCCCTTCCGCCCCCTCTCCTACTCTCTTCCTCTCCGTGTCAGCTTCTGACATGCTCTCAGCTCATCTTCACCGCCACCCTCAAGCGCGGGGCCTGGGGCCCCCACCACTCGCGCATAAGCCCCGAGGAGCAGGACGTCATCGCTCGCGGAGGCTGGACTCACTTCCTCGCCCCCGACGGCAGCTCGACGCCACTTTACTACAGCGCGCAGGTCGAGCTGGAGACTAACGCCAGCAGAAGCTCGCGAGCTGAGCCTGCGAGCGTCAAGTCCTTGTTCCCCTTCTTCTAGCGCCAGCACAGCTGCCCGGGTAGGCGCGATGCCCCAGTGATTCTTTAATGCTGCTCGTATATAATGACGGCAACCCTCTAATCATCGACTCCCGGGATGTCATCCATGGGTACATCCTCACTGTCCGATAACCGCCTGATTTCTGTACATGGCTGCTACCTGTCGGCATGCTCAGCCTGTCCTCCTCCTCCTTTTCTCCTCCTCCTTTTCTCCTCCTCCTCCTCCTTCTCCTCCTCCTCCTCCTCCTCCTCTTCTCCTGCTCCTGCTCCTGCTCCTGCTCCTGCTCCTGCTCCTGCTCGTACAACCCACCGCCTCCCCCTCCTCCCCCTCCTCCCCCTGTTCTTCACCTGTGTCGATGAGGTTGCCTGCTCGGGGCCCTTGTCGTCTCTCACTCTCACCAGCCGAGGAAAGCGCAACGCGATCCCCCTGGACTCATCGACGAGGCCGATGGCCGCCTTGTGCTTGGGAGAGATGGACAGGTCTGCTGCTGCCACCTCCCACACGATCTTGGGCTCGAACCAGACGTTGGGAAGGAGGCCGGGAGAGTCGTCGTACTGAGGAAGGAGCATCACCGAAGTGCAAGGAGCGGAAGGGGTTCGAAGTAAGAGGCGTGAGGAGGAGGAGAAGGAGGAGGAGGAGAAGGAGGAGGAGGAGGAGGAGGAGGAGGAGGAGGGATATGATAGTGGCGGAAGAGGTGGAGGCGGAAGAGGTTGAGGCGGCAGATGCTGGTGGTGGTGGTGATGGTGGTGGTTATGGTGATGGTGATAGTGATGGTGATGATGATAGGAAGGAGAAGGAGGGGGTGGTGATGATGGTGGTGTTGGTGTTTGTGGTGATGATAGGAAGGATAAGGAGAAGGTGGTGGTGATGGTGTTGGTGGTGTTGGTGTAGACCTGGTAGTAAGACTTGGGCTCTGAGATAATGATCGGTTCAAAAGCATCATAAAATTCCTTGAGCTGAGTGTCGCTGATGCCTGTTCCGATCTTACAGATAGCTTCAAAGTCCTCCTGGCAAGACCCACCAAGTCAGCTCCACCAGGTTCCGCACCTCAACTGCTCCCTACCGTCTCCTCGTTGTAGCATGCGAGGAGGAAGGCGCCGTACACTCCCGTCCTCTTCCCCTTCCCAAAGAAAGCTCCGATGGGAACCAGGTCCAGAGAGTCCGTCATGCCATCGATGTAGTCCTTCTTCACCTGTCCACTCGTCAGCTCTCGCCCACAGCACGGAATCCTGCTCGTCGACCTTGAGCCACTTGTGGCTGCGCTGCGCCGGTTCGTAGGTCGAGCTGTCGCCGAAGAGAGTCTTCACCATGAGGCCCTCGCAGCTGTCCGCCACCTGCGCTGAGTTTGACAAGCAACCCTCACCATCATCACAAGTTCGAACCGCGTCGTTGAGAAACGCCAGGATCTCTTCCGTGTCCGAGGCGTCTCGGGATTTGGCAAAGGCAAAGGATCCCTCGACCTCGCTGTGATCCAAGTCAGTTGGCACATGGGAGGAGGGAGGGAATTCACGTGAAGGTGCTCTTGAGAAGCTCTCTCCTCTCGTGGAACGATCTCTTGATGAGCGGGTCCCCGTTGTAGTACAAGATGTCGAAGGCGAACAGGCAGACCTGACCACACGAGCCTGTCAAGTTGCCTGCTGGCTGCAGGACTGGAACACTGATGTACCTGGACAGTGATGGTGTCTTCGTTGGCATCTTTTCTCTTTCGTGTGCTGAGGACCTGAAAGCCGTCAGGAGGCAACGGCGAGCAAGCAAGAAAGGTAGGACAACGGCAAGCAAGCAAGAAAGGTGGGACAACGGCGAGCAAGCAAGAAAGGTAGGACAACAGCGAGCAAGCTCCTCTCTCACCTGGAAAGGTAGGATCTTCTTCGTCTCCCTGTCGTAGGCGACGACCTCTGCGTCCAAGATGAACGACTTGGTCTGTTCCTTGATGACCTGCAAGAATTTTGTGTTGAGCATCCTCTCTCGTGGACCTCGCGCGCTGCTGCAGACCTTCGGCATGAGGGCGATGAGGTCAGGGTACTTGGAGGTGTTGTCCTCGGAGTTCCTGCTGAAGATTCGAACCGTTCCGTCCGGGGTCATGTGGATTTGTCCGCGTTCACCATCATATTTGTACTCGCAGGTGAAGGTCTGATCCGCAAAGCTGCGGACGGGGACGTCGGGCATCAGCTCAACCCTCCAAGAACTTCAAGAATGTTCACCGGTCGAGAACCTCTGAGACCCCCTTGGTCGGGTGCGCGAGCATGGGATGAACTGGGATGCCTGGCTGAAGGTAGCAGCTGCAAGGAAGTGTGAGCGGATCTTTTCGCATCGGTTGCTTGGTGGGCTGACTTGAGCGGCAAGTTGTTGATGGGCTCCTTCAGCAGGACAGGAACGATCTTGTCGTAACAAGGGAGTTGACTGTAGACTTCCCTCAAAGTCTCTGCCGCCTGGAGAGAATCGATCAACTGGTTGAGGAAACATGGGCAGGACACCTTCTCCAGTATCTGCTTGTTGGGCTTCGTCCCTTGTGGGACGCTCAAGGCTATGGAGTGAGCAAGTGCGACGAGAACCTTATCACTTCTTCACACCAGCACGAACATCTCGATCTCAAGCATCACCGTCTGCTCAGCAAGGCCAATCCTCATCTTGCCTTGAAGGTGCCGTACAATGAACTGCGTCTCTATACCCTTGGCAGCGACCAGAAGGGACTTGATCTGACACATCACTTCTCAACGCGATCACGAGGAGCTTCACAGGGCTCACCTTGTCCTTCTTCAAAGTCCCTGAATCTTTCCCCGTCATCTTGGCGATTTGCAGCAGACTTTTGTGTAACGTTTGTACCGTCAGCGACTTCGCTGCAAACATGACCCGCTGTGTGCTCCTCGATTTCATCGCAACAGTTCCAAGATCTCCTACCTGCTCGCCACATCACATCCCAGCACGGGGCAACGAAGCATTCGAACCTTGTCATAATCGCTCTGGATGTCTTTGACCTGCCGGCCAGTTGCCTCAGCAAGCGCCTTCTTCAAGATCATGTCTCCGATGCCCAACTCCACCCCCTCATGTGCGGGAGCAAGCTTGTTCACACACAAGTAAACGCAGAACAGAAGGTCTTCAGGAGTTGTCTCGATGACTGATCGCAGACAGTCCGTCACCAGTGAGATGATTTCCAGCCGCTTCGACTCCTTCTCGACCTTTTCAAACATGGTGGCAAGATGAGAGTATGGAACGGGTTGCCCTGGCTTCCAAGAGAGTTTTCCAGTGTCAAGCATGGAAGAGCGTTTAAGAATCTCCTCCTTAACTTCCTCGTCGTCTTCATCTTGCCCGTTATCGTTCTGGTCGTCGTCAGATGCAGCTTCCTGCTCTCGTGCTGCAGGTTTTGTTTCAGACTTGTCGTTGCTCGCCTTTGCATGGCTCTGAACACGATCAGCTCCTTCCTCTTTCTTGGCTCCTTCCCCTTTCTTGGCAGCTTTCATTGTAACCTCGAACTTCTCATCCTTGGGCTTCCTCGAACTTTCTGGCTGTTCACATCTTTCTTTCTCCAGAACTTCTTCCGCCGGCACAGCGACTGATGAGCTAGACTCTGCCTCGTCCTTCTTGGACGATGGCCCCCCCACCGTCTTCGCCTTATCGGCATCCTCATCGTCGCTGTCTACCTGTCTCAATCTTTTCCGAGTTGGAGGCGTGGCTCGTTCCTCCGTGGTCTTGAGCTTTGCCGGGCTATCGGCTGAGTCTTCTTCATCCTTCTCTTCACACTTCTTGGCCTCCTCAGGGGGCTGAGTCTTGGGCTTGAAGAAAAATTCTATTGTAGATTTCGACGGCATCTAGCGAAGTGAAAAGGATTAAGCGGTATATCAAAGCAGGGCACATCAGCAGAAATCCATGAAGATTTTGTTTCCAATGCTTGCTCATTCGATTCTAATCCGTCTCGAATCAGCCTCCACCCTAGTGACTTCCTTTGTCTGGAGGGGTAGAGGACCGAAAGATTCTCTCATACCCGTGCATTTCACTGAATCACGGTACCCCTATGTCTCGCGTCATCAACGCAAACCTAATGTATCTGCTCCTGCTTTTCTTCTCATCGTCATGAGCGGGCAGCTGTGCCTAGCTTGTATTCATTTTAACAACACCCACACGCTCACCCGTTGAATCTCAAACGCACCACCACCACTTACTCCTCCTCTACTTCCTCCTAATCGCCTCCTCCTCCTGCTCCTGCTCCTGCTCCTCCTGCTCCTCCTGCTCCACTTCCTCAAAATCTCCTCTACTTCGTCATCTTCTGCTCCTCCTCCTGTATTTCCTCCTAATTTCCTCTTCCTTCTCTACTTGCTCCTCACCTTCTCCTTCTTATCTCCTCCTCCTTATCTCCTCCTCCTTATCTCTCCTCCTCCTCTTCCTCCTTCCGATCTCCGCGCTCCCCTCCCCTCTCCCCTGTTGACAGCAGCACTGGCAATCGTCATTTTTCCCTCCAAAACTTCCGAACTACCCCTTTCCTACCCCTACCTTACCACCCCTATTATGATTTCACCACCCCCATTCCTCACAAATGTACCCCTACTTGCCTCTGTCCTCATCCACCCCCGAGGGACACTTCCTACCAGCCCGTCTTTATTGGGCCCGCCTCAATTAGAAATTTGTTTTCTTCGTGTAAAAGAAAAAAAGAATAAGTACCCCTCCGTTTTCGTGAAATTAGCCCCGTACCTTGCCAATCCATCCCACCCCCCCAACCCCCGAGAATTCAGACCCCTCATTTTCGACTCAAATTCACCGGTGATGGAACTTTACAATCATTCGAGAAAAACTAAAAAGCCATTTTTGTAAACAAGTAGTTTTAGTTTTTGGTACCACATAACTCTCCCAAGTTGGTACTGACAGTCGACGTATCTCCATCTTAAAATTACTTTTCTATGCATGTAGAGGAACGACAAAGAGCAGTACGTAGTTTATAACTTTGTATAACAGTTGTTAGTAAATATGTATTATAATTACCAGGATCCCCTACAATTCACACTCCAAATTGTTTTAGTAAACCTTCCTTCGACACAGATGTATTGCGGTGTGCCGTACAAATTAAAATATATTTGTAAAATTGTATTCAATAGAATTTTACAGTCAAAGGCGGTACAACAGGTTGAAACGTCGTACCTCCTGTTACTACGGGGCGCAAAAAAGAGGAACCTACAAGTAGTAACCGTGCACACAGAGGCATCAGTGTCAGTAACAAAGACAGCAGCAGCTGTGGTGGTGTTAGTGCAGTAGCAGCAGTAGCAAACACCTGCAGGTCTGTCGCAGGGGAGCAGAAGCGACTTTGGAGGCTGTAGCTGAAAATGGTTGGCGCCATGCGCAAGGCGAGCGCTTGCCTCTTGTTTATATCATCTCTTGTTCATAGTTGTACATGTTTCATTGGGGTCGAGACCAAACCTCTCCTGGAGAGAAAAGTTTCATCAAGGCTGTTGCATGATCGCCGCGGCATGTCGTCGCAGAAGCAGCCTCTGACATTGTGCCGGAAGAGCATCAAAGAGTTATTAGAGGAGAATGATGACGCCTTGCCCAATCAGCCGTTGAAACCGAAGAACTGCAGCCCCGAGCATGAGTTCGAACTCAACAGGGGGCTAGCTGTGGACACTTTGCTCAGCGATTACCCTTACCTCCTGGAAAGAGCCCCAGATTTCTCCATCTTCCGCAAAGACATTATTCTCACAGACGCTCAGGGCTTCAGCATCTCAGGGCTTCAGGCTTATCAGCTGTTCTTCGGGATCCTCAGGAGGCTTGCGTTTGTGCTGCATTCACAAGCTGTCGTTTACGTCATGCTCATGGACAAGTACGCTACCGACAAGAGCAAGATTCGTCTGAGGTGGAAGATCGAACTCAATGGAAGGTCGCATGCAACTACGAGCAGAGACCGTGAGGCCATGCTGCGCAACCTCGGGTTTGAGCAGGAGCTGGGATGTCGGTTTGCTTCGTCCGAGGACAGCGCGTTTGTGCTTGAAGGGATTTCTGTATACAAGGTATGCTTGTGACATGCATCTCGACGTGCAGTGATGAATCGTTGCAGCTTGATACCAAGGGAATGATCAACTCTCATACCATCGAGATCACAGAGCCGACAGTCATGGCACCGCTGGCGGCATTGCAGCGTCTGATCCCAAGTTCGTTGCCGGCGTCGTTTGTTCCAGATATCATTCCGTCATGAGGAGCGGCTCTAGGATGTCACAAAGAAATCCTGTGAATTCTCATATACAAGTGGTTTGTGAGTTCAGGATTTAACTTGTTTGTAATGTACAAGATGATGTATGATATACGGCAGCTCAGGAGAAAGACTCGGGCTGGGTATTGCGGCATGTTGAATTCCGGGCTAAGCCAGTGCCCTCATCTACTGATCAGCTTGAGGAACATGTTCGTCGTCGAATGCTGGATAGCCTCCCCTTGATATTCTTCGCGAACCTAACCAGTACACAGCATCACTTCTTCCATTTGAACCAAGTTATCACCTTCATCAGTAATTGCCGACCAAACTGGCCATTGTGTCCAATCAGGAACCGTTCCAGACAGCATTTGTGTAGATTTTTGATCCTTCATCCTTCGAACGGAAGTCACAAAACTACATCATAGATTTTTTCCGTACCCGCTCATGCCTCTGTCCATTGGAAAATCTGCTGTTGAAAGAAACATCAGCCGCAACAACTTACTGCAATATCATCGATGTACCATAGTATCCTCGTCTGAATGGCCCAATGCTTGACAAGATCCCATCACCTGCAAGGGTACCGCGTCCTGCCAACAGCCCATGACCTGCCATGCCCCCATCGCCAGCCAGAGCTCCATTTCCAGCAAGGCTGCCATCGCCAGCAGTGCTGCTGCTGTCGTCAGCTTGTAACGCTCCTCCTGCCATTGACGAAAGTCCAGCCATGGATGCTTGCGATGCCATGGATCCACGACCTGCCATCATTCTATCTTTCGCGAGCAGCTGCTGCGTCCGTAGTGACTGCTTCCTTGCCCAATGCACGGCCGAGAGTGGACGAGGGTTGCCTGCTCTTTATCTCACACCCCGCACGAAAGAGCATCGATGGATCGTACCTGCAATGAAATCCGCGTGCGTTATTCCTGCAGACTCACATCAGCAGCACCATGGCACAGATCTTGCGACATACCTGGATACACCTGATTGACGGCTGAAGGATAACCCCGATAAGCCCAATCGTCGTTGACTTGTAGAGCCAAAAACTGTGCCTGACGCCCTTGATATCTTCCCACCAGAGCAGACTTTTTTGGAATCGATTGGTTGTAGGCAAAGAAGGCGCATGTTGTACAGAGTAGCAATGCAGTCACGGGTAAGACACCGGAAGATGCTGCATTTCTGCACATTTTGTTTGCCTAGAAAGATTCATTACTTCAAGCTCAGCAACGTGTTCACGACAAGCTCAATGCCATCAAGACAGATTACGGATTAGCTTCTGAATGATTTTTGTTCCTTTCAATTCGAATATTCGTCTACGTTTTATCTCCTTCACGTTATACCCAAAGTTTTCCCCTAGCATCGAATTGCGCCACCTTCTTGTCTCTCTAGATTCAATTCATAGATCTCCATGCCTTCTTTTCAACCTGATCCTTCTACCATGACTTCCGGTCTTACCGTCACCTTCCTATTCTCCTCGTTCTTCATCGCGCCACTTCACTCTCATGCCCAGTCGCTGCCCATTCTTGCTGGGTGACTTCTACCTATTTACCCTCTTCTGTCTCTCTATTTACTTAGTTCAAGATTTAGTCAAGTTTATTTACCTAACTATTCACTGCAGTCGTACTGATTTTTAACTTAACTTTGAGTAAACGAAAGATTTGCAGGCCGGCCTGGGCCCGTACCGCCGGTGCCGGGCATTTCATCCGGCGGCCCGGCGGCCCGGCGGCATATCAGTCTAAACCCAGAATCCTCTGAGGGGAGCCTGTACAGGCTCCTTCCTCCCGTCACGGCAGATCCGACCTGCAATTGACCATCTGCCGACGAAGTGACACCCCACCCCCATGTCTATCTATTCCAGCTATGAACAGGCATTGAAGGGTGGGTGGGTACTAAAAATTGTATCATCCCTTTCCGGTGCAATTCTACCCACCCGTTTTTATTAGTTGTCGGTCCCTTGAAGGGTGGGGTACTCTACATATCTGCAGATCTCAAGGTATCCGAGACCGGGAGTAGACTTGTACCCTGCTTAAAAGGGGCATAGTAACTTTTCTATGTCATTCTGATCGTGGTAGTCATCATTTGTACACGTTGCATCCAGATTCTGTACCATGGGTCAGTACAGAGTGGGGACTTCGGTACCTACAATGTATCTGTACCGGATTGGTGAGGGTACAAATATGGGCTACCGGATTCAAGACTTGACTTATTATAAAACAGATCTGTGGGCCATAGAGCGTGGTGACACTACCAAAACACTTGTATACAAGAAAGCGTTCTAAATTTATCAGCAAATGGGGACCAATTATCATTAAAAATTGATTTTGATGCTTACCGCTGAGAACATGGTACAACAACATCACGTACCACTAGTACTGTCATATCGGTACAAGTAATTGTAGCAGAGTTAGAGGAACAGTTCAAGGGTATACATCCCCGTGACCGGCTCGGAGGTTGGAAGAAGTCAGTCATCACCCCAAAATACCCCAGTTCAACAAGGTAAATCAGGGGGTGGTATTTGCAGCGGGATGTCCGATATCATTCTTGCCGGCAGGAGCTAAAGAAATGTCCATGAGCTGTAGTAAACTGTACCTATCCTCGTGATTTCTGTGGAGTGTTGTGAGAGACCGAGGGTGGGATCTGAGTAATCTTTTGCTATTGTCTCCCAGCATAAATCACACCTCTCTAGGGGCCAGGAAAAAGATTACAGCTCGGACGGATGTGTAAGCCAGGAGGGTCTTGGCAGGAGCAAAGACCGGATAAGGAACTCGTCTCGAAAAGACTCGTTTTCGAATGAAGGATGCGAAAAGAACGATGCATACGAATCAGGGTCCGAAAATCTACGTTTTGAAAGCGTTAGCAAATTTACTACAGGACCACCACCCATGTCGACATCCCCCGAGACAACCGAACGAAGATATGCTTCTCTGTACCCCTCCTTTTGACCTCCCAGATCCCAGGCAAATCCGCAGTAAACGCACAACCGTTCACCACCCTACCCCCTTTTCTAGACCCGAAAAAGGATATCCACCACCCCGCCCGACCTTCGGAAGGGGGTACAGTCTGGCCCCTTGTGATTGTGTACTTGATTCCGTCGGGTCCATCCGGTTTCCGCTCGTTCCTCCATCTTCGCTAGTAGCACGTGGCGCAACTTGCTACTTGGTGTTCCATCACTCGTATCTTCGTCTGTTCCTACATCTCTTCTTCACCAAACACCTGCGTCACTGCACCATTTGGTCTTCCAAAATAGATTCGAAAGCCATGACAAATTCAATGAGGAAGCACAGACCTCCTGCTCTGGCCGGGCACATGCCAGCTAATGCTCCTACTATGAGAGAGGACTTGGCATTAGGCTACAGCGGCAACGTCGAACAACGCAGGCAAGAGTCAGAGGCCTGGACGAACTTTAACGGACTTCATTCGTACTGCACAAGAAGGCACAGCGAGGGGTTGATGAAAATGGGTCAACTTTCGAACTCATTTAAGAATCTGCTCAAGCTTAAAGATGACACTCCTCGAGCCGAGACGATTGATGAGGAAGCTTCATCTGAAAGCCCACACGCAAGGACAATAGATTCAGTTGGAAATGTAATTAGAAGTCGCAGGGGTAGCTATTGCTGTATGATGGAAATGGGATCTAAAAGTCCGCATGGAGGACTGATCGACAAGTTTGGAAACTTCAACCAAACTAATCGTGATCGTACCGAGTTAATCTTTCGAAACTTGTGATATTATTTTGAATATGAATAAAGTGAATCCATACTGAACGGCTTTGGTCTCAACTTTGGAACTATCTGTTTCGTGACCCGACAGTGGTGTAGTTGATTGGATTCCAGTTAATCAGTCCCGCAACACACATTGAATTCTACTGTCGTGTTTCGATTATTCTATGGTCACTGACAATCCGTCTCTGCCACTGTCAGGCTTCTATCGCTGTGGAGTTCACAGTTTGTAAATGAGTTCATTAGGTCGCGGCCGGCAAAACTCCGCTCAATGCACTGCCTTGCCAGTTTCGAGTATTCGTTATGACAACTGGGGGCATCATCATCTCAGAATCGTCGTCCGTACAGCTCGGCCCGCATCAAAAGTGTCTCAGCAACGTGTCAGTGCTAACTGACTGCAAGACGGTACTAAGGTAACGAGCTGATGATCCGATGGCATGGCATCCCTCCCGAGTCTGGACGAGGCCCAGAGTCATTCAGTTGCCAAGTTTCACAGACGGTCATGTGCAAGGCCGGGTCTGCAGTGCCGAGGCTCTCCTGATTGTCTTCGTACTGATCTTTGACTTAACGCCGTCAGGCTGTCAGTGAGGGCCTTAATATAAAGGTGCCTAGGCTACGGTGTTCCCCTGGCAAGGACCATGATCCCGGGATTGAAATTCGGGAGCATGCAGTGTGCCGCTGCCATGATGGTGTCGATTCAACTTTGTTTATCATACTGTTGCGCCGCGCCATGCGGCAAGTTGGCCTTGCACGCGGCAAGTCACTGCCGTCACAGTGACCGACTCTGAGCCGGAAGTGCCTCCGTTTCGAGTTCCGAAGTTCAGCGAAGTTCAGTTTCCGCCGAGCTCAGTGACGGACGGCGGGCCAACTTGCCGTTGACGGTGATCGGACCGCCGCCGCGGGCCGCCCGGCCATGTCGGACCCGGCCCAGTTGAGTCGATGTGACTGGGCCCATGATGCGGCGCCCGGGCCGGGCCCCGCCCGCGGCCGCCCAAGTTCACAGGCTGCGGCGGCCGGCGGCGGCCGGCCGCCGCGGCTTCACTGCGTGACTTCGTAGGTTGATACGGTAAGTTCTCAGTCCGACTCCCGGCTCGGAAGTTTGGCTCAAAGTTTGATAGTTTGATAGTTTGAGAGTTTGATAGTTTGCAAGCCTCCATGCAGGGGGTCCCAGCAGCGGCGGGAGAGCTCGGGAAGTGCGAGGAGTGAAATTCTCTTCTCCTGCACACCTTCTGACTACATTTCTACGTCACCCCCCCCCTTCCTCCTCCTCCCCTTCAGTTCACCATGGTCGCGGGATACTCGCGGAAAGTCTGTGATGTGGAGATTCGACAACTGTGCATGGAAGACCTGGACGACGTGATGGTACTACAGCAGGAGAACTATGCGCCAGAGCTGCTGGAAGGACGCGAGGTCTTTGAGAGCATCATCAGGTATCAAGCTCAGTTCTGCCGTGCGATTGTGCATGCAGAGAGTATTGTTGGCTATCTCTTTGCTCACTTGCACGCACGCGATGGCCCGCCTCCAGCGTTGGCAGTGGCTCTACATGAGCAGAGCTTCCCGTCAGATGGTCTAGTCTTCATCCATGATGCATGCATCTCCAAGAAGTTCCAGGGCCGCGGGCTCCTGCGCTTGATGTTGAGCACCATTGATCAGCGTGAAGGCATGGCGTGTGTGGCTGTGCAAGGGGCGGAGGTTGTGTGGAAGAAGTTGGGCTTCTTAGCAGTGCGAAGGTGAAAAGTCTCCGCCTCTTTCTCGGTGCTGATGTTTCCTTGCAGCGCCGGCGACTGCGGCTACGGAGATGGTTCCTTGTTGATGATTCGGGACTCCCCTCGTGTGGAGGAGGAGGGTGTGCTCCTGAGCGATGCTCAGCGGCCTCTCTCTCGACCCATCGCTGTGAGGTCATGAGCAAGAGCAAGTGCCCAACCAAGGGAGGCTTCATAACTCTGCGATAAACCAGACTGAAAGATCTGCCAAACTGAGTTTCGAGGCCTAGTTGATTGACGCAGCTAACCTTGCACTACTTTGGCATGACCGGGTACAAGTCACAGTTAACAAACTTGTACGTCACTAGTACTCAACTGAATCCTACCGTGACCGGCGTGACCTCACATGTTTTGGATAATGATGGAACTTAACTTCAACGTGATTCAAAGTACGGTAGGTGCCGCTGCCGCGTACGGCCACGGTAGTACACACTGACGGTCGGTCGGAGTCTCTCCGCCCGGGAGTGTCCCTCAGCCTTGCCAGTGACGGCGTCCCTAACTAGTAACTAGTAAGTTGTTTCCCGTCCGACGGCGATCCGCCGGAGACCCGCGGCCAGGCTCTGAAAGCGGCTGAGCGTTGCCAGTTGAAGTTCACGACGGTCAGGCCCGGGCCCGGGGGCCGACTCCGAGGCCTCCGGGCCGGCCGAGTCCGTGACCGTTCGACACTGCGGCCGCAACTTGAACACGGCGTCTCGGATCGGACCGCACAGCGGCATCGGGCTCAGAGTCCATACCGAGCGGCCCCGGCCGGCCCGTACTATCAGCGCCGTGGTGTGACCGCCGGCCCGGCCGCCGGCGGAAGTTTGGCCCGGCGGGCGGCGGGCCGGCGAGCCACTGAGGTCCGGGCATGAGTCTGCTGAGCACTGGCATGCACCTGCTGTCTTTCAATCCCATATACCCCTATAGCAAAGCGATATTATAAGTGAGTCATTAAGATCAAATCCCATACCTCCTACCCTTCAGCCACCAGTGCGGAGGTAGTGCTTCCTCCCCTCCCCCTCCTTGGTCCCCCCTGCCCCTACTCTTCCCTTCCTCTCCTCCGACCTCACCCACTGCACCAGCCTCTCTCTCTCTTCCTACGCAGCACACCGCGTTGTCTTCCTGCCCTGCCGCCATGGGATCCTACTACATACCCCCTGTCAACTTCGGGCTGGTCGAAGACAACCTGTGAGTAGCGAGGATAGGAACCAGGAAGATGAAAGGGAAAAAGAGCGGAGAAGAGACACTGGCAGGACGAGGCGGGGGAAGGGCGTGACAAAGGGTGCATGGGAGGGTTCTTATAGTGCCAGGGACACATGGAGGATGGAGGGAGCAGGAAAGAGGATGGGAGCAGGGAAGAGGATAAGCGGAGAAGAGGTTCACATCAAACCAGGTACAGGAGCGGACAGCCTAATGAGCTGAACTATCCCTTCCTCGAGAAGCTGTACGTGTTTATGCAGTCTCCCTGCATGCCTTCCCAGGACCTTTGCTGTGCGGTTCTCGTGCTCTACACCTCCCTTCCCTCTTTCCTTACCCCTCTGGTCGTCTCGTTTATTCTCCTCTGCTCTCTCCACCCCATTCCTTCTAACATGCCCAACAGGCACTTGAAGAAGATCTTGTACCTCTCTCCTGACGCTCCCCCTCCTTCCTTCCAAACCTTTGTCAACGATCAGGGCATTGACCTGCAGCAACTCGGTAAGCACTGCGGCAGATGCGCTTCCCTGCCTTCTCACGCATCATCAGGATCTGCGGGGGAGGACAGGCAGTCAGCCATGTGGAGCCCCTTGAGCGAGGAGATCGTCCTACAAGCCCTCCAGCAGATCCTTGATGTACAACCTCCTGCCCCTGCCCCTGCCCCTGCCCCTGCCCCTGCCCCTGCCCTGCCCCTGCCCCTCCCCCTGCAACCCCGTTCCTTCTCTGGTTGACCAACTTTCCTTACCCTTCTCCCTTCCTTTGCAGACGGAGAGGCACTATCCGCTGTGCCTGATGGACAGCGTAGGAAGAAACAGAGTAGGGATCGTTGTTGGATGCCTCAGAAAGTTGCAGGCAACGTGCGACGTGCTCCTCCTCCGCTTCCTGACGCTGTCGCAGAGGTGGAACTTGACTTCGATCTTCGAGGAGTACAGGCGGTACGCAGGGAGCAAGGTGATGCTGTTGTGGAGGGGAGGATGGGGAGGAGCAGCGCAGAGAGAGCAAAGCGGATCGAGGATAGAGATTGATGTGGCCATGTTTGAGATGGAGGTGAAAGGAGATGGTGAGCATGGATGTTGAAGTCTTGAGTTGATCCAACAGCGGATAGGAGGAGTCATCTCAAGGTTGATCTGCTCATGTCTGCTCAGGTTCGCGTTCTCAACGAGCAATTCATCGAGCTCTTTGACACTGACCTCGTCACCTACGATCACGCAAGGAAACCTGTCTGGTTGTAATGCTTTTCCTCTTTCTCCCTTTCCCAACCTCCCCCCTCCTCCTCCTCTTCATGTCCTTGCATGAGCCTGTATTGCGCCTGATGAGTTCATTGTACATACTTGTCCGACATCATAGCACATTTTCATTCTCATGCCGCCAGCACGCCGATGGGTTGGAAGTCAGCCAGCATCTCGTCGGTGTGGATCGCCTTGAAGATCTCCGTCCCATCCTGCGCAGAGAGGAGGCTCGTCAAAGAGGGAGGACAGGAGGATGAGGCTGAAAGCAGGGGGGAGAGGAGGAAGGAGGAGGGGGAAAAGATGAAGAAAGGGGGAGAAGAGAGTAATGTCCCCGACGAAGGCGAAGAAAAAGAGGTGGGGGAAGGAGGAGATACGGAGGGATGTGCGGTGGTGGAGGGGGAGAGGACAGAGGAAAGCTGGAAGGGGGGAGGGGGAAGAGGGAGCGAACTTGCTAGCAGAGGGCACACACCTTTCCTCCGTACTTGAGGATCGCTTCAGCTCCTGCTGGATGCTCGTCCAGGAAGTCTGTAAAATCGTACACCTGGGATGTTCTAGTCACTTCACCACTATAATCACCAGCTCCAGCTCCAGCTCCAGCTCCAGCTCCTCCTCACCTTCCCCTCGATGGAAACCCAGCAGCTGTCTTTAGTCTGGTGCTTTGCCAACTCCTCTTGGCTGATGGTCTTGCTAGCTGGAGACGGCGAAGGAGGAAGGGCTCCCTTTGTTTCCTGCAAGGATGCCTGCTCCTCCTCCTCCGTGTTTGCGATCGGAAGAGACTGGCCGAGCAATCTTCCGAAGACGACACACTCGCTGCACACAATGTCAGTCAGCCTCGTCTTTCTCCTGTACTTTCCTATGTGCCCCTTCTGTATCCACTTTGCCCTCCTACCCACTCCCTCCCTCACACCCTGACATGGTGTCCTTACTGGTGCTGCTGCTGCTGCTCCTCCTCCTCCTCACCTGAGAGCGTTTCCTCCGAGTCTGTTCTTCCCATGAAGACCTCCTATCACCTCCCCTGCCGCGTACAGTCCACGGACGACGGACCCGTCCTCCCGCAGGACAGCCCCATGAGCGTTGATGGCGATACCCCCCATGCAGTAGTGGATAACTGGGGTGACGATGCCCGCGTAGTAGGGTCCTCCTCCAGAAAAGGGGAGGTTGTGAAAGTATTTCTTTCCCCACTCGTCGATGCCCTGAAAGCAGCAGGAAGAGAACAACGGGGAGAAGAAGGAGGGAGGGAGAGAGAGGAGGAGGAGGAGGAAGAGGAAGAAGTTTCAGTGTTTTGCCCGACCTGTAAGGTATCTCCAACTTCTGAGCTCTGCAACCCCTCTATCCCCCCACCTATCAGCATACCTTGGCTCCATCCTCGTCATACTTCTTCATGGTTTGCTGCAGCATCTCCTGGTTCACTTTGCCTTCCCAGAAACTCCAAGCTGCACATCAGGTGATGAGCACGAAGAAACGAGAATGAGCGATGAGCGATGCGCAGCAAGAGAGAGCAGGGCACTGAGCCAGAAAAAGAGAACAAGGAAAAGGATGAGCAGGAGGTGAGGAGGAGACAGAAGGATGCAGGACAAGGGCAAGAGCAGGAGGAGCACTTCACCTGCAAGTTGTTCGAGCGTATCGAACTTGACAAGTAGCTCCTTCCTCGTGTACAGCTCGATGTGCTTTTTGGCCTTGATCGCTCCCTGTGCGACGAGTCAGACCAGCATGAAAAGAGTCGTAGCCATGTGAGAAGAAACATGAAGAAACATCAGGGGTAGCGGCTTGTGAGGGGTTTTGATAGCAGAGGATAAAGGGCCAGGGGAGAGATAGATATGAAAGAGAAAGTGGTGGTAGTGGTACCGAGGGATGATGATGATCATCATGATGATGATACAAGGAGGTGGGGGGGAAGGTGGTGGTGGTGGTGGAGGAGGAGGAGGAGGAGGAGGAGGAGGAGGAGGAGGAGTGCTTCATGCTAGGTCACAACCTTCCCGTTGACGACCAGGGCGAACTTGAGATTTTCCCCGTCTACCTCAAGCATTCTTCCTGTCACGTAGTCGCGGGTTCCAAGCTCGTCGGCGAATCGTTTTCCAGCTGGAGGAAGGGATCAGAGGAACACACGAGACAAGGGAGGAGACAGAGGCGGAGGAGGCGGAGGAGGAAAAGGTACGTCGGTGGAAGTGAGGAACGAGAAATTCTCTGCTTACTTCGATCCAACAGGATTCCTCCTTCTCCTCGTAGAATTTCCGCGCAGAGAGTCTTCACCTTGTTGTGCGGATCTGCGGGGTTGTGGAAGCCGGTGGGGTGAACCTGCAGGAAAGTGAGCGAAAGTGCAGACAATGGGTAGAGAAGCATGCAGCAGGGAGGGAACGAGGATCGAAGAGGAAGAGGATGTAGTTTGCAGAAAGGGAAGGGAGGCAAATCAGAAATCATGAGCTCGATATCTGTATTCCTGACCTGCACATCGTTGAGGTCTACAGTCTTCGCCTTGATCGCCATGGCAAGTTTATGTCCGTCCCCAGTGGTTCCCTTGTTGTTGGTGGTAGCATATCTGACGAGGAGTGAGACGATGCGGGGGAGAAGAAGTGAGAAAACGAAGAATGAAGGAGAGGGGGGGGGGGGAGGGGGGGGGGAGCCGCCACTGAGGCTGCACATAACTCGCGAACAGCGTGAGGGAGAGAAAGAGGGGGGGAGAGGGAGAGGGAGGGAGGGAGGGAGGGAGGGAGGGAGGGGGAGAGTAAAAGAGAGGAGAGGAGGAGGGAGAGGAGGCAACGCCAAAAACTCACTTGAGAAGGTCAGGGCGATATTGCTTCAGCAGAGAAGTGTTGGTGTAGTCGCTCGCGTAACCCCCTGTTGCGATGATGACGTTGCGGGAGTAGAGCTTGCCCTTGCTGCCCTTCTCCTCCTTCCCTCCCACCACCTCGTACTCCACACCCACGACAGCAGCTCCGTCCTCCTCCGTGATAAGCTTCGTTGCGCTCGTCCACTTCATCAGCCGGAACCTCCCGCTGCCGTCCTCAAGGTACTTCTCCAGCTGCTTCTGGATGGCGAAGATGATGGCACTTCCAGCTAGACCCGAGGAGGGGCGGTGAGTCCTCGGCTTCGAATGCCCTCCCATCTGCCCCACCAGGTCGAGGTTGAGGTGCTCCTTCAGCCGGTACCGCAGCCATGCGAGCGAGTCCACACTTCCCTCTGTGAGAACGGGGATCAATGGGTTGTCTCCTCGCCCTGCCGCCTTCACCACGTCCTGAGTGAAGAGCTCCACACTGTCCCCGCTCTTGGTGTCGTTCACGTCAACCGCGTTCACTCCCGAGGAGGCCCAGGCGCTGTTCCCGCCAAGATGCCCCTGCTTCTCCAGCACCACTACGCTTCCTCCTCGATCCAGCAGCGTCAGAGCCGCCGACAACCCGGCCAGACCTCCTCCGATCACAATCGCGTCGACTGCATCAGAGACAGCAGCACGGACCTCGCTGCCCATCAGTGCCGCTTCCTTGGAGTAACGTGCCGCGTGCTCCAGGAAGCGCTGGCTGTTGAAGGAGGCGTAGTGCTTGGCAAGCAGGAGCAGAGATTCGTCCTTGACCAGCAACCTGTCGATCACCGCGTCCTCAGTGCGCGAGTCAATCGCTCCTTTCCTCGCCTGGGAGGCGACAGCAGACAGCGCGAGGTCCAAGAGGTTGTACGATTCTTGAGGTGGGATGGAACTTACGGTCGAACTTCTTGTTGGCGCCCCAGAGCGAGCTGGCGCAGGAGCAGGAGGGGACGGGGGGGAGGGGACTTGCGCAGGGGGAGCAGGCTGGTTCATGACCTTCTCGTCGAGCACATCTCCCTTGTAGAGCAGCTGATGCTCATAGAACTTGGTGGTAAGGCGAGGGACCGCAATGATCGCGTGCGAGAACTTGTGCAGGGTGTTGAAGAGCGCGACGAGCTCCGGCCGGGAGAGCGAGGTCGAGATGAGCTGCTCAGGGATGAGGAGGATCTTGAGGGCAGTCCCCAGCCCCAGCAGCTGGAGCTTCCCATGCAGCTTGCACTTCTGGCACGAGATGCAGTCCATGACCTCGGAGATATTGTGGAACACTCCCTTGAACTGGCTCTTGAGGGACTTCTGGACCTCTGACTCCTCCCCGTCAGACTTGAACATGATCTGCTCGTCGAAGGCCTCGAACACGTGCGAGCAGGAGGCCAGCAGGTGGGAGTCTAGAAGCCTCTGCACGAGGAGGGAGGTCCTTTTGTCTTCTGCAATCTCCCCGACGGAGAAGGGGAAGTTGTAGAGGTAGGGAGCAGCCTTCCTCAGCGCCCGCAGCAGCACCACGAACGCGAAGTGAAGGTTCTTGAGCCTCTCCGGGTTGGCTCCGTAGTGGTTCATGAAGCGATCAAGGTTCGGCTCCCACTTGTCCCTCTTCCCCTTCACTGGGGGATAGTACTGCTCCGAGATGTGGATGTTGATGGACGCGTGCATCCCCGAGAGCATACGGTACAGGACTCGCTCCTCGTAGCACATCTCGTGCAACGACCCGAGCTTGTCGAAGCAGTTCTCATCATAGATCGCGTTCCACACGTGGGATCCGTTGTATCCCGTCCACCGCTCCGGGTTCAGCTGGAGATTCACGTACTCTGATGCGAGACTCGGTCATCGACATCCTCCCACGGAACTCTCGCATCACCTGTGCTGTTCGTCGGGATCTTGTGGCAGATGTCGAGCCAGTACTCGGGGAGGGCAGGGTCGTCGCAGACCTTGCTCTCACCATCCAACAGCTTCTTCTCGTCGTTGGAGATCGTCTTATCCACTAGGTTAGTGATGGGGGGCATGAAACCTCCGAAGAGTCCCTGAAGCACCAAGTCACTAATCTCACGCCTTGCACACTCCAGCACTTGACCGGGGGTGGAGCATTGAACCCAATCTTCTTCTCCCCGACCTGTCCCATCGTTCATAGCTCGCCTCCCAACGCACCAACTGTTTACCTTCCCTCCTCCAGACAGATCTAGATCGCACTGCTTCTTTCCCTTGGGCTTCACTCCTTCCACCTCTTCCCCGGCTCCAGCAGCCGCCTCACCAGTTGCAGAGGAGTTGCACTTGGCTTCTGAAACAGCCTGCAAACAGGGTGTCAACTATCATGTTGTCCCAGTGGTGTCGAAACACAAGAAAGGGAACTATTCTCCTTTATTGAGACGAACCTTGGTCCAAAACTTGCACTTTCCTTCCAAGTTTATCTGGAGAAGACGAAAATAGGTTGTATTGACAAGCTGCCAAAGCAAACAATCAACACGACAATGACCAGGATGAGGTGAAACTAGTGCAATGCACCTCAGAGAGAATCGAATGCAGCTGCTGCGAGTTTGCCTTCTCAACCGCTTCAACGTCGCACTGAGCATCATCGACAGGTCCTGTTGCTAACAGTCACTGCGAGGCATGTCAGGGCTCAAAGAGTTTGCCTGAAGGCACGCATCCGAACTCGTGTTTCACCGCCCATGTTGGGACTTTCTGAGGGCCCCAGGTCAAAAGAACGCGTCTGCGAGCATTGAAACATCTTACTGTGGATGAAACTTCAGCCTCGGCTACTGCTAGCACAAGGAGCAAACAGGCAAGGCCTGCCAAACGGCATCAGACAAGATCAGCACGAGATTACTGGCTCTGCTTACCACAACAGGCTTTCATGGCCATAGTGTGTGAGCCTTGTAATCCACACGTTATGCCAACTGATGACAAAAATGTAAGAGGGAACATTGTCAGGCTCTATCAATGGGCGGGAAAAATAATCGAGTGCACACGAACAACTCCTGATTTGAATTCAACGAAAACGATTTGAAAGGTCCAAACATGTATGTCATGTAAGGTCCCAGATCACTATGTTCCCGTATCCGAGAATCGCAGCTCATGAACACATGCGAATCTCTTTGCTGCACGTGTCAGATCTCTATCTCTCTCCGCTTCTCCGCTACTTACTGGGTCCGCCAAACTCTATGGCAACGATGCAATGTGCACCACAAATCACATCGTGTGCTCCAACAGGCAATCATCTTCCCCGCGAGCATTAAGTCTGATCGATTCTACCTCTCGAACCCTCTCCGTCCTCCTCCCGTCTCTCCTCCCCTTCCCCCTTCCTCTCCTCCTCTTCTTTCTCCTCCTTGCCCTGCCATGTCTTCCATCCCACCAAGCCACATGGCCTCATCAAACTTGGAGTACCCCACCCCAGTTCTGTATCACCACCTACCCTCCTCCATTCCCAGCCTCACAAGTACCCCGTTTAGAATCTAACTACCCACCCCGTGCTTTTACACTTCAAATGCACCTTCAATCAAGTTCTACCTACCTTTCATCAATATTGTATGAGAATACTACCGGTGCGCATTTAATTATCTACCACCCCACCCACTCTAGGATGTCTTGACACATAAAACATCTTCTCTCTACCCGGTCTGGTTTTTCCTACTACCCACCCCCCTTTTCCCTACTACCCACCCCCTATTCACCCCCTGGCATGTCCAAACAACTCATAATAAAACCTTGACTTGAAATACCCCTTCTATTCTCATTTGATTGAGGGGTGGAGGTACTCAAACTTGAGAGAACTTCTAGCTCATCGTACTGATTTTTAACTTATCTTTGAGTAAAGATTCTAGCTCGGGATGGTGCGGCTTGAAGGTGGGGTGGGTGACGTGGAACTTGGAACCCGGGCCTCCGACTCGGAAGCCCGGCGACCGTATGCCGGACCATCGGACGGACTCCCCGAGTCCGGGAGTTGGCAAGCCCGGTGAAGGCCGGGCCTGCGCGGCCGGGTAACTTAAGTTCCGTGACGCCGCCGCCCGGCGCTGTGAGTCCGATCACTGTCAGTGACCTTCCGGCCGGGGGGCCTTCGCGGCCGCCGGGCCGCCCGGCGGCCACGGCCCCGCCGGCTCAACTTTCGAAGTCAGTTCGGAAGGGCCTTTCGCCGACGGTCAAGACTCACTGGCCAGTGAGTGATGGCACTAAGCAAGTTTCTTTACTCAAAGTTCAAGCCGCTGGAAGTTTGGAGAAAATTGAACTCGGCGCCGTCCCGGTCCCCCGCCGGAACTCAAAGCTTGAAGGGCCGACGGTTCAGTGAACAGGCTTGAAGTTCGGCCAGCCTCCCTGCCGGCCGGGCACTGCACCGGGCTGCGGCAGGCCATGAAAGTTGGCAACCGTTGCCAACTTGACGGCCGGTGACCGCCGCCAGCCTGCCAGCGCCGCCGCCGGGGCTGACAGTGCCAACTCTGGCAGTGAGCCCGGCGAGTCACGCGGCCCCGGCCCGCCGGAGTGCCAGGGCGGCACAGGCCCCCGAACTTACCGTAGCCTTAGCGGCCGCCCGGCCGAGAGTCAGACTGCTCGGAGGCTCACCGTCACTGCCGTAGTGCGGCCGCCGCGCGCGGAGCCTCAGGGAGCCCGCGGCACTGTACGGTCAGGCTGGCCCGGCCGGGCGGCCGCGATGATAAGCCTTGCCGCAGTGCCGCCGGCTCAGCTACCCGGCTGTTGGTACGGTGGCCGGCCAGTACTACTCAGCCTGGCAGTGAGGCTACCGTACCGTAAGTCGATAGGACTCTCGTGCAATGAGGTCGGACCAAGTTTTGAATTTTCATACTGATATGGCACTCAGGCGGCTCCGAGTGCAGTGAGCGCCGGGCTGGCGAGTCTTGATGCCGCGCTGAAACAAATCTGTTCATATCGTTGATCATTTTTAGTCATGATTATTCAAGCATTCTATGTCAGGAACTCAGTGAGATACAACGGTGATCATCGGATTTCACTTCCGAATGTACTCTAACACTGCCAGTCGACGGCCAGTGACCGATGGTGAACGTGTATGAATACTACTATTTCAACAGCGGCGGGAACTTCCGAAGGTTGACGTGGAGCGCAAGTCTGAATCAGCTTCACTCAGATAACAATACCGTTACGGCAAGTATCATAGTAAGGAATCATTGCCGTAGGACCGTTGCTTGCTCCGAGCCTCGGACTGCACCGTATCAAACTCAGCCGCCTTAAGTTGGCAACCCCAGTACCAAGAATTAGGGGCACAGTAATGAAAGTCGGCTTCGCAACAAACAGGAATGGTCTTGGTGTCATTGCAATTTATTCTTTTGCGGCCTGATCTGACTTCAAACTCCGTGTGCCTGCGGCGATGGGCACTTTACGACTCATCCACGACTGATTTTCCTTCATTTCCCTAACTTGACAATGGCAGGACCAAACACATAACACATTACTCGTATCATAATTTTCGAGGGAAGCACAAGAGAACCATAACTTTGAAGAGCACATCTCGAAATCATTGGAAAAGAATAATTTATTACAAATGCAGAAAGAATCTATTGTACACAAGTGAGGTTATCTGAGCACGGTGTGAGCTGCATCAGTGAAGAGCAGTCCAGCTTCACTTCCAAGCTCATCAACGATCTCCTTCATCCTCTTGTGGGACATTTCTCCTTCGCAGATTGAGTGCCGTGATCTCAAGATATCGTGCGATCCGTGAAACGAGCATTCCGAGGTTGGAGTTTCTGGTCTAGATTCTTCGCATGACATTCTTGAAGCACATCTTGAGGAGTCTCTTGAGCTGTGGTTCGATGCCAACCAGTTGTTGGCCTCGTCGCGTCCACAGGTGCGCATAAGTTCTTCAAAGAAGTAGAGCTCAACCAGGCTGGTTGTAGAATCGTGGGATCTTCGCTGAGGCATCAAGATAACTGGCGGTAAGGAAGTGGATAGAGCGAGCAAGAAGGCAAGGGGCTGGGTCAGGTCAGGTCTTTCAAGGCACCGAGCGTGGCTGGGTGGCGGTGGAGAGAAGCGATGATTTGTTGCAAGGAGGTAGTGGATTTATAGGAGAAGGCTGACACCACCCACCCATAAATTCCATCATTTTACAACACATGTAGATTGGGTCATGGAGTACGTGCTGACAATCAGTCCGTGCCTCAGCCATGAATCATCGCTACCACCCCCACCCCACACAACACCCCAAATAAATATAGTCAGAGGTCTTTAAATGCAAGGGGTGCACTTCGAGAAATATCGGCGGACGATCATTTCGGAGAAACTGAGGGTAAATTTAGGTGCAAGGGGTCCGAGCAACGACGAAAAAGATTTATTTCGATACTAGAGTTATTTTGTACAGGGGTAGGGTGTTGCAGTGCAAGCCACGGATGGGGGATCAGAGGATACCCTCCTAGTCTTATTGATCTATTTGAACATGATGTTATGAAAGGAACGAAAGACGTAGATGATAAAAAGGGCAATGCTCATGAGGGGGTGGGTGGTCAAAGTTGCTGACACATCAATGCATTCGATCACGTCGTGGAGTTGCAGGAGCACCTCTAGACCAGGGCCAAAAGTACCCCTGCCTCTCCTGCTTATCTCCTCGTAAAAGGCACGGGTCATTGCTGACACAGCTATGTGGTAAGGATGACCGAGCCCATAAAACCACCGAAACCATAAATTCAAATATCTTTATGAACTTTGAACTCTTATTTGAAAGTTTCAAATCAGTTTTGATACTGAAATCGGGAGTTAAAGTGGCATTGCAGATAGAGTCATGAGCTCAAGGAGGTAACGTGACTGTGGACATGTGCGGATCCTCTAAAGCTGAGCCACTACTGCTGCCCCATAAAACTCTTCGAAATCACTTCTAGCGCCCAAGGTAAATCTTATTCGGCTGCCCTCCAGAAGATCGGACTCCAGGTGGCAACGCCCGGCGGCCCCCGGGCCAACAAGTTGGGGCGCGGCCGGGCGCCGGGCCGGGCCGGGCAACTTGCGGCAGTGCCAAGTTGGCCCACACTGCCGCCGCGTGTTCAGGTCACGCGGGCGATACGGCACGCCCGCGGCATGATCACCGTCACTGCACTAGCAGGCGATACTCACGCCGGGTGCCGCAGTGCGGCCGCCGGGGCCCGGCGCCGGGCCCCGGCGGGGCAACCGTCCGAGTCGGCCCCGCGCAGCCCAACTTTTGCCCGGGTCACCGGGTGGCGGCCGCAGCCGCCTCAGCCTGCGCCCCGGACGCTCCGAGGCTCCTCGGCGCCGCTGCCAATGCGCCGCGCGGCACAGTGACGGTAAGTAACTTTAAGTTCAGGCCACGGTTCAACCGTTCAATCATTCATTAGACGGTCCGACCGTACGGCCCGCCGGTGACCGTCACGCCACGGTGGCCGGGGCGTCAGTGTACAAGGCTCCCCGGCAGAGCTAACTTAATTACACCCAACTTGGCAAGCTGAGGAGGGAAGCGAACTGAAGAAATATCATTGCCTTTCCTGGAAGAAATCATCAGAATGCGTAAATGCCTGCGACGTGCCGTAGAGAGGCTGCACATGACAAGCAGGGAAACATCCGTAGTCGTTGGGCACTTGACTATCAACACCGGGCAACGTGTATAGACCCTCGGCAATAGCTCGGTCCACGATCGGTCGAAATTTCAAATCGAGAATATCGCACAATGTGTTGAGCTGACTCATCCCCTTGTCAGTAGAGACCATGTTAATGATGCTCTCCTCTTGGATGAGCTCCCGCTGAACTAACTCCTTCCCGCTCTTCACACCAACCACTGCCATCGCAAGAGCCTCACACGCACTTGGGTCGTTTCGCAGAGCCGCATCGTACTCTTCCTCCGAGATCACCACTTGAGTTCGAGTTATCCCGCACAGGAAACCATTTTCGTCAGTGTGAACAGTGAGGCAAGCTCTCATCAAGACGCCTTCAGGGCAGGGATCCTTGGCGAAATTCTTGTTCCATCGAGAGACCCAATACCGCTTGTCACCCTCTTTCAGGCAGAAAGGATCAAAGATCAGCTTCGAGAGCTCCAAGAGGCCAGACAAGTGAGCGCAGAACTGACGGAGCTCAGTTGACGGCAGCTGCATCTCTTGATTCGCCATCCTCGCAAGCATCTCCTCTCGATGAACGCCAGCAAACTCCGACAGCCACTCGTTTACAGCACAAGTAGCCCACCTGTTGGTGCAAGGGTCCAGAGTGATGGACTGAAACCCGCACCTCGCCGACTGCTGCCAACTTCTGAGAGCCCTTGAGTCCATGGCGGCTATTTGATAACTTCGAGCTCGTGCATTCAGGAGCCGTTCGAGCGCTGTCAAGGATCTCGCAAGCGTGTCCTTCAAGCGCAGGGGTAAAATACCGTAAATGTTTCGAATTCCAGAGATTGAAACCCCTTGATTCTCCCAGAAAGTCCTCAACAAGAATGGGACATCATGAGAGGAAGACTGATCCGATCTCCTTGAGTGGGCGAGACAATGTGCCGGGAAGGCTATTGGCCTATCAACAGGCATGTTCAAGAAGTCAAATTCCTGATTCACATTGTTTGACATGTCGTAAGAGGAAAAATCAGGATGTGCAGAAAACCCAGGCACAACTTCTGTAGTATTCCAAAGCTGCGCCAGTTGATCTTCGCTCGACGTGTCAGATAGAGGAGAGCTACGATTTGACATAATACTGTTATACTCCACTTGGCTCATGCAATCATTCTCGCTCCCTCGAGAGATACAGCGGCCACAAGGGCGACAGCCATCGCACTTGACTTTGCTCTTGTTGCACCTAATGCAAGCTTGGTCCCTCTTCAATGCCTTTCGGGGAAACCCAAGAGGACTTTTCTTTCTGTTCAGGTTTGATTCTGAGTTCTTTGGAACTTGATCAACACACATGTCGGTCTTGCCTTTGAAGATACAACTCCTGCACGGCCTCTCACCGTCGCATTTAATCTTGCTCTTGTTGCATGCCTGGCATGCTCTGTCGCGTTTCAACTGTTCCTTCATGCTCGTTTGAGTCTTGACGTCAACTTCCATATCCGCCCTTGCATCATTCAGAGCCGCCGGGAACATTTGAAATGGATGACTCTCAATTATATGGATCGTCTAAGAAGTTCACCAAAAAGACATGTCGTAATTAGAGGCTCGCATCCACATCCTGAAGAGCGAAAATGTCACTGTTACAAGTGATCAAACCATGTTACAACGTTCAGAGGGTTACTTTGTGAAGTGGCATTTCAAATGGTTTACCAATTTTGGCATTTTCTATCAATTATCTTGATTCACGTGGTCTATTGCATTTCAAATCTCTAGCCTCTTGTGTGTTACAATGGCAGCATTCCTATTTGATATCCTATCACATAAAACAGATTCAAAACAGATAAACTCGAAGCCCAGTTCTGAATCGATGCATGTTTGTTAAACACATGCCCCTTCTTTCATCTGGGGGAGCCTTTTACATTCATCTCCATCTAATCTCCCTTGATCTTGCCTGATCATCGTTTCCACTGTCCTTTCTTTATCTCTCCCTCCCTCCCTCCCTCCCTCCCTCCCTCCCTCCCTGCATCTCCATCGCCGGCCAACCCTGAAAATGGAACCAATTCTTTTTTCCCAAACTACCCCCAACCTAGATACCCCTCTTCTTCCCCTCAAGTACCCCCACCTGATTACGGATTGGGAACGTACTGCCACCAATCTTGTGGCTGACACGGCTCGTTGATATGCTATTACCACCCACCCCCTCGTAATAGTAAAATTCTGCACCTGAGGTACTTGACTACCCAGTAAACGACTTGAAATGTACGGGTGATTGGAGGACACGCTGACCTAGCTAGTGAGCAATAGATAACTGCACCTTTCAATGAATGCCACGATGGAGAGGGCCGACGATGATGCTTCAAGCGCATGTACCGCTGCTTCTGATCAGCCTGGAGGGTTTCTCGCTGTAGTGTTGCCCTGAAGTGAACACAGTTGACAGCGCGAGCACACGCGATTGTCTGCCATGCTCATACGCAAGACTGCAGCGGGCAACCCCACTGTCACAGCGCGGAAATTCTCACTCTAGATCGTCGTTCATAGCCGTGAAGAAGAGTACTCGGTCCTGCTCACAACTCCCGATGGAGAACTCTTCGTTATTGCGTCTTTGAGCTTTGAACGCCGATAGCAAGCTCTTGTTGATGACCTAAGCGAGCAGCAATTTTAATAATTTGTAACAATTGTGAACAGCATTATTGTCCATGCCGATCCTTGCATACATAGATGAAGGAAAATCTCCGATTTCAGGTAGTCACAGCATAGCAGCTTTTTCGATGGAAAATTTCGGGGAAACTGGTGGATACAATCGCTAGAATGTCTCCGTTTCTTGTGTGCGACATGTAGGGAAGGCGAGCAAGAGGCAAATGAATCCCTTCATGATCTCACAGGTAAGATGTAGATCATCTTGCATTGATCACTGAACTTTTGATCAGATAGAATTAAACTTCAATCATGATTATTTGGCTCCCGATCTGAGTCAAAGTATAAAATCGAAGGATTCTTCTTGTGTGCAACTGGATTGGATTGGCTTACGAGCACTTCTTCGTTCCACTATGCTGATGGCTTTCTACCACTCAGGTCCAGACACAGGACTCATCAACAAGTAGCAGAGCAGGCACAAGAGTCAGTAACAAGCAAATCATCCAGGTCTAATCAAACTTGCTTGAACTTCGGAGCGCAACCGGCGGGCTGCCGCAAAGTCAAAAGTGTCATCCGATCCCTCGCACACTGACTCGGGGACGGTGCCGCCACCGGGTCACCGGACTCGGGACGCGGCCGCCGGACCGCCGGCGTGCCCGGCCCGTAAGGCTGACCCGGCCGGTTTCCCGGCGATCGTCACGTTCCCGGCGTCCGAGGCGGCGCGAGGAGCCGAGTTCCGACTCCGGAGTCCCGGGAGTCCGCGGGCCAAGTTGACTCTGTGACATAAACTTAGTAAAGGCCAGCCCCGCGACGGGCGCCGGTCCGATCCCCCGCGGCCGACTAGGACTCGGAGGCCCTCGGAGGCTCAGTGGCGGGCCCGGACCCGGGGGGCGGGCCCGGGCGTGCCAGGCCGCCCTGAGCTGAGCGGCCCCCGGCGCCCGGGCCGGGAGTCGGCCGGGCTCACAGAGTCAGCGGGTCGGCGGGCCCACTGGCCGGGCGGCGCCCCGGGCCCTCCGGTCGCCGCCCGGCTAAGCCGCGGTCGGCGTCCGGGCCGGGCGCGGGACTCAGTTGGTCCCCGGAGTCCCGCGGCCGCGGCAGCCTGTCACAAATTAGTTGACGGTGAGTCGCCGGAGTCACCGCCACTGGCGGCGACTCGCCGGTGCTGAGCCCCGCCCGGCCCGGGGCCCGGGGGGCCGGCCCGGCGGGCGGCCGGGACGAGGGGGGAGGAGGGGGATGGTTGAGAAGTTGTACTTCTGACTTGAAAGTGAGGAAGAAACAAGCAAGAGAGGAGTGAGGAGAGAAGAGAAGAGAAGAGAAGAGGGAAGCGGGAAGCGGGAAGAGAAAATGGAGAAGAGAAGGAAGGGAGAAGAGAAGCGAAGTGAAAATGGAGAAGGGAACGGAGAAGAGAGAACGAGAGAGAGGAGGAGGAGGTGAGCGAAGGCAGGAAAAGAGAAGAGAGAATAGAGGTAAGCCAATGAGCAGGTGGGAGAACAGAGAGGAGAGGAGAAGAGAAGAGACGAGAAGAGACGAGAAGAGACGAGAAGAGACGAGAAGAGACGAGAAGAGTCAAGAGGAAAATGAAAGGGAAATAAAGAGCATGAGGGGAGGGGAGGAACAAAAGAGATGATATGAGGCAGGATGAGGAAGCCTGAGAGGGAGTGGTAGAGGAGAGGAGCGGAGAGAGGGCAGGCCAGGGGTAAGCGAGTAGCGGATAGGAATGAATCCATCACTTTAATGATGTTAGCTGTATTAGGAGACCGATTTTTATCTTCTTTGCGTACATCGAAGCACCTGTTTGATTTCTTATTGACTTGATCTCCTCACGCAGACTCGATTGTCGACTCCAGCCCAAGATTGCGTGGCAAGAGTTTTGTTGACTTCTTTGAGGCCAAAGAAACTGCGAGGTTCTCAGAAGCCGTCGATGCGGCCCGGATCTATCATGCAACTCCAAGGGCACCAATGCTGAACATCCCTATCTGTTGAGACAAGTTTGTTGGACATGTCCAGAGACTGCACCTGGAGGTTTTTTCCCGCCTTTATTTTCAACCTGCACATGCTTGCAATTGCGGGGAATTTTGACATCCAAGGAGAATTACACTGGAGACAATGGATGGATGTGTTGGAAGACAGCTCGCCAGGACAAGTTGTCGAGATGAAGTATGGGGGACAAGAGGTAGTTTGTCCTGTTTGTTGCGACGACTCTGTTGACTCCCCTGTTTCGACCTGATCATTGCGATTCCCTGCAGGTCGAGAGTATCTTCCTCTTAGAGCAGCTTCGGCTAAGAGGAGGAGGAGCTTGTCTGCCGTTCCCTGCCTCGAGCCCAACAAACGCGTTGGAGACTCAACTGTTCCATGCTGCGAGCACGGGCAACGTGAAGCAGGTAGAGCAGCATCGATGCTTTCAAGCCGAAACAGTCCTGCGCAGATCGAAAGGTTGGTCAAGTTGGGAGTGGCGGTGGACTGCACAAACAACCAACAGCAGGCAAGTAGAGAGTCTGACGTGCTGGTCGCACTGACTGCGATGTGATCTGGCAACAGAACCCGATCCTCAAGGCAGCAGGTCACACTAGCAGGAGTTGTGCTGAAGTTTTGACACATGGAGGACAGAGCGAGGAAAGTCAAGAGCCATCCAAGCTCTTGTAGATGCTGGCGCGTCGATCGACAGGTGAGGCAAGGAGGAGAAGATCTGTTGCGTGATGACTGCAACATTGCCTCAGTCGGGATGCGAAGAACTCGAGCGCTCTGCATTACGCTGCATACAATGGTCACACGACGAGCATTGAGGTGATGGCTGCGGCGGGGGCGGCGGGGGTGGTGGTGATGATGATGATGATGACGACGACGATTAGGAGGAGTAGGCAGAGGTTGTGGTTGTGGTTGTGGTTGTGGTTGTGGTTGTGCTGTTGATGGTGGAGAGGGAGCTTGAACTTTGATGAATGCAACTGAATTCTCTCTGTGGTCAAACAGCTTCTGGTCAAACTTGGATCGGATGTGAACTTGCCCAACAAGTTCGGATACTCGTGAGTTGTCAGGTGGACGTTTGTAGGGTTGAGAACGTTTCTAGACCGTTACAGTATGCGTCGTCGGACGGAAGGCTGGACACCGTCAAGACGCTCCTTACATTAGGTGTGGAACGAACGACCTTGTCCCTCCTCCTTTGCTGACGAGAACTTGTCATTGTAGGCGCTCAAGTCAATTGTCAAGATTACATGTATGCTCTATCTGCAATGTGCATCTGTCTCTTCTGACAGATGCCTGTTCTCTCTTCTTCTCCCCCCCTCCCCTCACTCCCTCCAATCTCCTCCACTTCTGCTCTTTCTCCCTCTCGTTCTCTCTCCCTCTCTTTCTCCCTCATCTCCCCCTGAACCCTTTCCGCCATATCTCCCCCCACCCCCTCCCTTTCTCATTCTCCTTGGATCCCTATTTCGCCTTCTGCCCTTAGGAACTGGACAAGTCTGCATAGGTACACCATCGACAGCCTCGTTGCTTCTTACACGTTTCGCTCTCCAAGGGCTGCAGGCAACGGGCATGCCGAAGTCGCGCTCCTCCTCCTCCACCATGGTGCGGATGTGAACGCGTCGGATGTCCAGAACTACACAGCTCTGCATGAGGCAGCCTGGTGCGGGCATGTTGATGTCGTTAAGGTGAGAGAAGGGTGCACTGTTTGAAGAGGAGGAGGAGGAGGAGGAGGAGGAGGAGGAGGAGGAAAAGGAGGAGGAGAGGAAGGGAGCAAGGGAGGGGGAGGGGAGGGGAGAGAAACGGCAGACGGCGAGGAGGGGAGTGGAAGGGATGAGCAGGTTGGAGCTTGTTTGATGAAGTTTTATCTTCAGGTCTTGATTGCCTTCGGAGCAGACATGCACCGAGCAGACTTGTGGGGCAACACGCCTCTAGGTAGACGATGATGTCGCTACATGCTGCATGGTGACGGGTCGGTTGGGCAGATCTTGCTTACACTCAAGCCATGGAGGGCAAATCACAAGTGTATGAGTACATGGTAATGATGATGATGATGATGATGAGGAGGAGGAGGAGGAGGAGGAGGAGGAGGAGGAGGAGGATTGTGAAGAGGAGGAAGAAGTTTACAGTGATGACGACGATGTTAATGATGGAGAAAGTGACGATGAGCTTGAGAGCTCCGATGGTTGTGATGTTGGATGTGTGAGGAGGAAGTGGCGGTGACGCTGACATGAGTGCGTGGAGGTCTCGGTGCAGGAGGGGAGGATGACGGTGGAGTTGGAGCACGTAAACTTCGACAAGAACATCATCGACTTGTCAGATGTTAGCGCGTCAGCAGCCTTTGCTGTTGTAGGAGGAAGACAACGGTGACGAGAATCAAGTGATACACTTGTAATGAAGCTCGAAGAGGATGGTTGGGGTGATTGGGATGCTCGGGAAGTAGACATGAGGGATGGAGCGAGGGAGCGAAGGAGAGGAGGAGGAGGAGCAGGAGCAGGAGCAGGAGGAGGAGGAGCATGGCAGGAGCAGGAGCAGGAGCAGGAGCAGGAGCAGAGGATGCGATGTTTATCACTACGGTGAAGTAACAATATGAGAAGGGTAGGAGAAGGGGTGTAGGAAGAGCTATTTGACAGTTTGTTGTTGCAGTGAAGACGAAAGGGGGGGCACAGAAGTAGGAGGTGTAGTGTTGGAGGAGGAAGGCGAAGGAAAGAAGAGACAGAGGAGTAGGAAGCTGTGTGGGAGGGGAGAGAGATTGGAAAGATAAAACAACAAGAAGAGAGGGGAAAGAGGGAGAAAGAGCGGGAGGAGGGGAGGGACGAGGAGGAACTTCAGTGCTTGAGGATGTGATGAATGGACGTGATGGTGGAGATGACGCAAGCAGAAACGCCGAAGACAATGATACTCCACCTGACACACAAAATGAGGAGAGAGAAGAAGAGGTAGAGAAGAAGATAGGCTGCAGATGGTAGTGACTTGAAGGTGAGCAGGGGCAGGGGCAGGGGCAGGGGCAGGAGAGGGACGCCAGGAGTTGCTGGGCTGAGAGGAGAAGGGGAGAGAAGGGCTCTGCTGTGAGGAGAATTCAGAGAGTCACATGAACGAATTGTGCCGGGGAGAGAAGAGAGAAGACTCGGAGAGGCGGATGACGAGGAGGGGAGGGACGACGAAGGCGAGTAGAGTTTGACCCAAACCTGCATCGACTTTGAGAACAGCAGGAGGACCAGAAGACGAGGAGGACCAGGAGGAGTATGTGGTGGAGGACCAGGACCAGGACCAGGACCAGGAGGAGGAGGAGGAGGAGGAACAGAAGGAGGAGGAGGAGGACCAGGAGGAGGAGGAAGAGGACCAGGAGGTGGTGGAGGAGGAGGAGGAGGTGGTGGTGGTGGCGGTGGTAGTGGTTGTTGACCATGACGTACCGGCAAAGATGTCTGTAAGGAGGGCAAAGTATGGGACGAGGAGAGCTATGAAGGCAGTACAGCAGACGATGCAGGAGCTACAAAACAGGGAAGAGAAGACGAGAGGAGGGGAAAGAGTGAAAAAAGGAGAAGAGCAGCGCCAAAGACGTAGGGATCGAAGAGGAGCAAGCAGAAACGGAAGACCATGAGAGCAATTATGAAAAACAGGGGAAGGACGAGGACGAGGACGAGGACGAGGACGAGGACGAGGACGAGGACGAGGACGAGGACGAGGACGAGGGAAGGAGGCAGACGTCAGCTCGAGTCACATGCAGCGGTCAGATAAATCAGGAGCGCTTCCTCCTCCTCACCGGAATAAGTTTCGAGGCCAGACGCTCTCCACGTCGCTGGGGAGGTCAAGAGATCTGAGAGGACAGTGAGGAGCTGAAGACTGGAGGACAGCTGCAGGACCTCTCGATCATCTCGAGGGCAGGGAAGATGACGATGGGGAAGGTGAAGAAGAGGTCGACGCAGAGACAAGCCTTGACGAGGACGACGACTAGGCTGCTATTGAGGTTGAGGATGACGATCTGATTGACGCTGCTGGACAAGTGAGCGATGCGAGGAAAGCGATGGGAGGGAGGGAGGAGGAGGAGGAGGTTCTAGGTGAAGCAGGTTTGGGGGGAGCGTGGAGGGTTGTACTCTGCGGACCTTGCTCCCCACGTAAGAGCGCCGATGAGACCAAAGATGATATTTGCAATGGCAGTTCCTGTGCCGATCACGTATGAGATAGGAGCAGGAGCAGGAGCAGGAGCAGGAGCAGGAGCAGGAGGCGATACCTATGAAAGTACGGAAGACAGCCTGTTCGTATTGCTCTGGGTGAAGCATTGAGGCCTCAATAGGAAGAGAGAGGAACTGAAACAAGACGTAGTATCAAAAAACCAGACTCATCCTTGTCCTCCTCCTCCTCCTCATTCTCCTCCTGCTCCTGCTCCTCCGCCTCCTCCTCCTCCTCCTGATACATCCTCTGCATCCTGCTGCTGCTGCTGCTACTTCCTATCCCCTCTCTTTCGATTTCCATCATCACAACCCGCTCTTGGCGTCACCTGCGTGCAGAAGAGGAAGGCGATGATGCCGAAAGAGAGCGGGAGAGTGGAGAAGGAGAGGAGGGGAGCCTGGGCTCGACTTGAGCTGCTTCTCCTCCTCTCCCTCACCTCACCTCCCGAAGATGATCTTGCAACCAGCTCGTTCCTCCTCCACTCAGCATCCCTCCGTCCACCAGGAGAGCAGAGATGATGGTAATGATGAGTCCTCCCACAATCGCGATGTCGCCGAGCAAACTTCGGCAAAGTCCATCATGAGAGGTGAAGGGAGGAGGAGGTACGGAGAAGGGAGAAGACGTAGAGGGGAGGTAGGAGGAGGGAGGAGGGAGGAGGGAGAGCCAGGACGATGGAAGATGAAAAGGGGGAAGGGAGTAAGGAGGAGCGATGGGCCAAGAAATTATGAGGAGAAGGGGGAAGGCAAGTAGGAAGGAGGAGGTGAGAGGAGTGGGAAACGGACCTAGTGAACGACAACTTTCGTAGGTCCCTCAACCAACTGCAGTCGAGTTACATCGGGGGAGTCAGGGATCCTTGCGGCCAGACCTCAGAAACGTCAGGCCGACGACGATGCTGCTGGTGACTAGAACTCGCTGCCATCCCAGTCACAGCCCGTCGACCCTCCCCTCCTCGCTCAACCTTGGACCAGGGCTGGCAGCCTCCTTGCAGCATGGAGCACACGTTCTCTGTGATGAACACGACGTATGCTAGATCGTCAACAACTCGTCAGCCTCCTCGTCCTCTCCCTTGCGACAGGCAGGTGGACCTGAGCAGACCCCGATGCTGGCGCAGAGGAGGCAGGCAGAGACGAGCTTCTCTCCTGCCGGCCCGAGAACCTGACGCCATGGTTCAATCCACGCTCAGAGATGTAAGAAGGGGAGGAGGAAGAAAGGAGCAGGAGCAGGAGCAGGAGCAGGAGCAGGAGCAGGAGCAGGAGCAGGAGCAGGAGCAGGAGCAGGAGCAGGAGCAGGAGCAGGAGCAGGAGCAGGAGCAGGAGCAGGAGCAGGAGCAGGAGCAGGAGCAGGATCAGGAGCAGGAGCAGA